TTCTTTTTTTTCATGAAGAGGGGAGAGCGATAAGCTGCATTTACTCACACCGTCTACCCCTTGCTGTTTTGTTTTTCGGTGAGGCTGAAAGAGGATCACCTCTTTATCCATTTTGTGTCCTACTGAGCTCCAATCATGGGTAAAGTATTGTTTTTTTTTTTATTTTTCATAGATTTTTTATGCCACAGGCTGCCCCGCCTGCTATATACACTGTTTTATTTTGTAAGATCCATGAGCTTGCCGCTGAATTGCTGCGTAGTCCGACTAAAATAGATCTGGGGTCTAGCTCAGTCGGACCTATGCAGCCTCCTGCAGAGAATCATGTCGGGTGTGATCATCCCATTCACTTTCAATGAGGGCTAAACACCAAAACCTCATCTGAAATGATTTTGTGGATCGGACGCAAATAGTGTGTTCAGGTTTTTAGACTCCCTTTTCCCCTAAAAGGAAATCTGCCGTTATAGAGCAGAAATGTACTTACCTGTAACCTTCATGTCTGGAGTGGAGAGGCTAGGAAGAACTCGGAGCGAGACAGTAGCAGTGGGAGAGGAGGGAGACGGAGGGGTTGCGTTCCACAGTGAGATATCTGACAAAGAGAAAAGCCAACAAAACAAACAAATATTTCAATCGTTGATTTGTAACATGAATATGAATAATTCTAACCTTAAATCTTTTTTTAATTAGGACTGTCAGCCGCAGGACGTTTCTAATATCTGACTAAAAGCATAAAATGAAAAACAAGAAATCACTTTAAGTTTATTAAGATTTTATGCAAAAAAAAACTTTTTTGTTGCAAATAGCCTGCGAGTCAAATCTAACATTTCAATCCAACAACGAGTCTATGCTATTACTAAAGAAACCAATGAAGAAATATATGGATGGATTGATGATTGATGAAGGATTTTAGATGATTAAACTTAGTACAAAAAAAAACAAGTTTAAAGAGATAACGTAGAGGGAAAATTTTATTTTCTGTATTTTTATATTAAGAAGCAAAAGACATACCATCTTCATCAGAGGAGGCGTTGCTGTCTTCACACTCAGCTTTGACCTCCTTCAGAATGCGGTTCAGTCTTCTTCTCACTCTTAAGTCACGCATTTCCGCCTGAGTTTTGTTCGGCAGCCGTCTTTTTGGAGGAAAGTCGAGACCATTCTGAACTGCAAAGTCGAGCAGCTCCTTTTCCAATGAAGACAAAAAATAAAGTAAAATTTACAAAACCAAATCATTGTTATGCAAAAAATAAATAAAAAGCAGGAAAAAAAACAGCTAAACCTTTCTGGAGACGAGAATCTGCTTCAGGAGTCTATGGTAATACTGCTGAAGTGAATGCAGTTGTCGCCTCCTTTGGGATTTGGCACACAACTGTCTGTACTTGACCACCTCTGGATTGAAGTAACCATCTTGAAAAAAAACACACACAAAAAAAAAAATCATGATCAAAAGCAAAAAAGATGTTTTATTTTTTTTTTTTGAAGAAGAAAAATAATCACCATTCACCATTCAATGTTTCAGTTGGAGGAGAAAAGGCTTTGATAGTTTGTATGAAACAATGCTAAAAAGAGCAAAATGAACCCCCCCTCCCCCAAAAAACTCATAATAAATAAAGATATGCATCGTATGGTGAAGCCGGTCATGAATTTCATCTATTCTTTCAACCAAACTGTCTTATTGACATGTTGTATAAAGTCAGTCAGTAAATACTTGCAGATTTCAATCAAAGGGAGCAGTACTGAATAAAAAAAAAACAGTCACATCATTTTTATAATAACTGCTCTTCCCTTTTTGAAGGAAAAAGCTTTTGATCTTCGCTTAGTCATCAAAACACGGCAAGTCATGGGGGCTAGTCACAGGATGTTTGTTTCTATTTATCACAAAAAGGAAAATAAACATACCTCTGGAAAAAGGAAATATCATATTAATGATTTGAATTGTCACTACAATTTATTTTTAATAAAATAATAAAAAAAGGTTTTCTTATGCCTGCCTCCCCTTATCTAAGTCAGGCCTTATATTTAGGTATATCACTGCTCTAGTCATTGGAATAGATCTGAAGTTACACTGACAGGTTAACCAGCCAATTATGTTGCTGCAACACTTAACTTTTGAAATAATAAGTTGCAAAAATAATACAAGCACATGAAAATTTAAACAATCCATTTCACATTAAATAAATGATTGCTTAAATATATAAATATGATCACTAACATTTAATAGACCTTATGTATTTTTTCCATTTTAAACTGAATGACAGCTTTTTTACATTGTGGGGCGACTAGTACCTTGTGCAGCATAAAGAAATAATAAAAAATACTGAAGAAGTTTGGGGACCAACATGGAGCACTTAAGGTGTAGTGGAGGATTTTCTGGAATTTTTGAAAAGACCCTCCCTCTCCACTTAAAAAAAGCACATGCACCACCCTGTACCTGCTACCTAGAGGGTAAGCCTATTCAACATGTGTGAGAGCATGCACAAGCCAAATTCTCCTTGTGCACGCTCTGTTTAAAAGTTGCATCGCTCATACAAGCTTAGTTTCCAAAAGAAGATTTGTTATTTTTCCACTATGTCAGACTTATCACTGGTAACTGAAAATGGGGACAAGCACGTAGGACGGCCTTACCTAAACATATCACCAGAATGATTGACAATGAGGAGGACCACTTATTTTGATGATCCACCCAGAAAAAGAGCATCCTCCACTATACCTTTAAATGCAATGAGAAAAGCTAAAGCAACGAACCTCTGAATAGCCTCTGAGCAAGATGCAGTGGGTTTCCAAAATGAAAGTTTGTGTTGTTGAACAAGTCTCTGATGGTGCTCTCCTGCTCCTCGGTATTATTGTTAGGAAACTGTGGCAGAAACTGTCGAAGATGTTGCCTCTGAGAATCTGTCAGTACATCATTCCAGGTCCCTTCACTCAGCACAGAGAAGAATATGTCAGGCTGTGGAAAAGGGGGAAAAGAACCTTGCATGTTAGCAAAAACAAACAACAAAAAATACCTCCCAACGTGTTCTAGTTTGAAGACAGAGATTAGCAGATAGGAGAGAGAAAGAGCTTACATCTTCCAGCAGATCCTCTGGGAGGTCCACTTTGCAGTTCCCAAGCATGCATTCTTCAGTGATTTGTCCTCCGTCTTCCTCTTTTGGATCCAGAGGGTCTGTCAGCATGTGCTCCAGCGGATCCATTCCTCTCTGCAACAATATTCAAACAAAACATTATGAAGATCCCAAGTATTTCTGATCTTCCTCCATTTAAAAAGACTGTTGGTCGGTAAAAAAATAAAATAAAAAATAATATATATATATAAACTTTTCAGTGTCAAAACAGTATGAAGAAAAACGCATCACTTCTTAGCGAATGAAGCTGAGGGGTTTTAAAAAAACACCGATTAAAAACCTGCCATATCTCCAGGATATTTGGTAGTTAGGATCTAGTAGCAGATATAAGCTAACGTCAGCTTTCAACTCTCACGTTTCATCTTCAACCGTCAACATATAGAGAATTGTAATAAATGAACCCTTTTGAATAACAATGCAACAGATACGCGTAAAATGCAAGTAAGGCTCTTACCTTATAACGCTTGTTTTATAAAAAGAAGGGAACTGTTTCCCTGTTGCACCTTTTTCTTCTTCTTTGTTAGATCGGCGGATTGCAAATGGGTGCATACCGCCACCTACTGTACATGATTGTGTAGCTCTATAGTTCCACCTACTATATTCTATTTTTTATTTTTGTGTTATGTAAAAATAAAAATAATGCTTTATTAATAACCAAGTTTTCTTCCCGGTCTCCATCTGTCCCTAAAATTCCTTTAATACTCCAATCTCTCCCTTTTTCCCTGGTGCACCTTCTTCTTCTACTGAATATAGATGCTTAAGCTGCCTGCTGCCGCCTCCACGAGGCAAAGCACCGTAAGTACAGGCCTTGAATGCTACATAAAATGTAATAGGACCATTAATTATCGTTGTAAAATGTTTTTATTTTTTTTTTTTTCCAGGTTGGTAAGTGCAAGGGATTTTGATAAATGTATTTTATTATTTTCTAACCCTCAAGAAATCTTGACTTATTGTTTGTAGATCTGGTATTGCTTTATCTTTATGGCATGCAACTAACTTAAACATGAGCTCTTAAAAAACAGCTTTTTTTGTAGTAAATTGGGCAGATTTGTGGACTCCCTGACTAATATTTGCCATTTCAACACTGCAACTAAACTGTGAATATTGCACAGTTCCCTGGGGCCTCACCTGCTGTTATGGTTGCTGCTGTTCTTACCATACTTGACTAATAGGTGCATTGATATCTTTGCAGGTCTAGGTGAATATTTTATTATTATTACTTAATTATTATTAAGTATAAGGATAAAGTGAGATGAATACATGTTCTTCCACTTTTTTAAGCATTTAGTTTACCCATGCACGGTTTTCCTTAAATATGAAAACTATAGACTATTATATACTTACCGGTATATTGCATATGATTTCAATAAAACAATCAATGTGGTTGTAATATTACAATAAAACACGAACAGGCTAAATTACTTTTACTTGCTAAAGTATTTATGCATTATGGGAGGCTTTAAATTTTATTAAGTGTCAATTACAAGCATAGAAACGTGTGCAACATTTATTTCACAAATTAGGTTATTTCCATCAGAATTTAAATTTTAAAACAGATAGAACAATAAGAAAAGTGGTTATCATGTAGTAAAAATATTTACTATCTTCAAGTATAACAACACTGCATACTGAACTGAAATATTTATAAATTAATTAATCATGGAATATTATGACATTTTCCTTTTAATAAGATGCCACTGTTTACATTACAGAACATTTTAGAGTACCATTACAACAGTTTAAAAACGTTGATATATATATAGTTTATGTCCTCTTGCACATTTAAATAAATCATGTGCATTTGTCAGCTTGCTCCACCTCTTATGATGCTGTTTCTGAACAGCTGTGAATAATGACCAGTCAATCCATGAGCCTCATGAGTCAGCCTGGGCGAAGCATTGGCGGGTGATCACGTTTATTTTTGTCCTTCAGGAACCTGCCTTATGTTTGGAGAACACAGCAGCACTTGAAAGTGGCGAAACCTTGTAGGTAACCTATTTGTCTCGAGGTTCGTCTCTTAACACCTTGGGAGGATGGCAGAAGGCGCTGATGGAGAAGAGGAGATCCAATTCCTGCGAACCGTAAGTGATGTTTGATTCCACAAAAAAGATCTGAATCAACACATAAAAGTTCTTGCAAACATTGAAAAGTCAAATATTTAGAGCGCTTTTGTGATTTGTTCCTTGCTTGAACTGAGATGGAAAAAGACAGGTGGCTGGTATTGTCTGCATTGTTCTCTATTTATATCCCACAAGGGCTTTGTCTATTAGTCTGGTCACGTGAAAGATGGGCATTTTATGGACCTCATAAAACAATATAAAGCGTCATGTAAGAATGTTTGACAACAAGTTTAGCTTTAAGTTGACGTTTTTAATGTAATTGCAAAGTAAAGCTGTAAAGCAAATGATCTCAATGACTGTATAAGGGTTTGTTTTCCTGCTATTTTACTTGTATTAAAATCAATATTATTGTATTAAAATTCTAGGCCCAAAAAGTTTGAAAGAATGAGCTTTAAATTTGGACAAATATGGTGAGAAAGACAAAACCATGAACTCATCAGAACTATTAACCGAGTTAAGTTGTGCTGTTCTTGATGCAATCTTCACTTGAGGAGATCTTTCTCTATTAAAAAAGCTGAAACTCTTTGAAAGATATCATAAGAAAGAAACAAAAACAACAATAAAAGGACATTATAGAATGATATTTTTAGACAGTTTTATTGGTCTTTGTTATACTATGTTGCTTAAAAGGTATGATCACTCCTTACCAGTAAGTTATTGAATAAAACTCTAATATTTTATATATTAAAGACTGATTTTTGGATCCAAAATAGAAAAATATTAGCTGTTTAATAAATATCCCAGACTTTATGAAAGGTTTTTAATCTCATTTGTTCTTCCTGTGCACCTTTAGTGTACAACATGTGTGTCTTTGAGACATTTGGTTTATTTTTGCTGCTGCAAGCATTGCCGGTGTATCATATTTCCCGTTTTGATCTCAGTGCCACCGCCTGTTGAAGGACATTGTGGGCAGGCAAGAGGACTGCTGTAATGATACAGTCTTTATTTGGAAAGTCTGTGTTTACACTCCAACATTGTGTTGAACACATTTGTTTCTTACAGCCTGAACCAGAATCTGTGGTCTACATGGGGTTTTAAAATGGCCAACTGCTGCTTAAAGCATACAAAGTGTTATATCAGTTGTTTACTGAAGTGAATCCATAATGCATGACTGCATTATTATGATGGAGTTCAGATGTGTCCTTAGATATTGTCCCTTGGTGTGAAACACGGCCCTATAGGAAATATGTGAGCAATGTGTCATTAAGTTTCTGTCACTCGGTTGCTGTTTAGACTTGAACTCAGCTGGCTTCTATATTTACGGTGTGAGGATTAGCAAGTCCGAAGCTTCGCCCAATTCAGCACCTGCTTGCTTCAGTCTATGTGGTGACAGTGCTGCTTGATTTATTGTCCTTTATGCTAAGATTGTCATAACAAATGACTTTTTTAAACTTTTAAAAAGCAGTGAATCCACTGGCTGCTTACAGAATGATAAACCATGCCAATATTTTTTTACTCACTGTCACCAGGCCTCATGTCACTGAGTCTGACTGTTGTCATGCAGGTCAGGCTTTTTAGAAATATTTGGAATTCTATAGATTATTTCATTCACCAATAAATGAAAGTAAATTGTTCTAAAAGAAGGTAAAGTTTTTGAAAAAAAAAATCTTCATTTATTTTTTACTAATAATCAGGTTAAGATATTTTAAATGAATTAATAGATTGAAAACTGAAGATAATTTCCCATCTTAGTGGAAAACGGCATTAAGCCTGCGGATGTTTAATTTCAGCATGCCATTCACATGTTAGGTAGCTTAGAATGCTTTATGGTAAGGGGTATAGTAAAACACTAAATTTAAAGTTTCATACCTTGGCAGTAGTACAGTAGGTCTTGAAGACCTTTGCTCAGGGCGTTATCGTGTCAAGGGGCTGCACAAGCAGCAACACAATTTACTTCCTCAAATTTATACTCAGGAGAAAGTGGACGCTGGTTTAGCACTAGGACTGAAACAAATTATTTTTTTGCTGATCGAATAATCTGTCAATTATTTTTTCAATTAATAATCAGAATGCTAAAGGTTCCATTAAGAAGATCTTTTACAAAATCAAACCAGGTCAAACAAGAGTTTTCCACTTGAGGAGATCTGGAAAAAAAGCATATTGATTTTTTTCTTCATCTTAAATGCAAATATTTATATAGTTTTATTTACAATTGTGATATAATATCTGCTCTAATTGGGTGGCTCTGTTAGCTAAAGGTATATTGTAGAGTCTCTATACGCCACGATTAATTGATTACTAAATTAGTTGATGATTATTTCAATAATCGATCATCACGATTAATCTGATTAATTGTTTCAGCCATAGTTCGTTCTAAAAGAAACTATGACTATCATGCCAAATGAACCTTTAACAGTTTTTGTTCTGCTAATTCTAGCAAACATTTACATTTCCTGTCCAGAAAGAAAGCACCAACATCCGGATGGCTTCTTAGCCCATTTCTTTCTTAAAATCGGCACCAATGTTTACCCTCATTTCCCTTTTTTTTTTTGCTCAGCTTGAATCTGAGAAATGTAATCCTGAGAAGAAGCCATTTTTTTTTTTACAGCTATCAACAATGCATGTGATTTCATCCTATTATTTATATTGGTGCAGAATCCTTTCATCTCAATACTGGCATTGTAACAGGAAGTAAATATTCTAATATAAATATTAGAATATCTAAATATTTTTTAAATTAAACAATTTTTTGTTCTCTTTCAGTAAAAGTAATACTTTTATGTTGCATCACTCTACATGTTCTGTGGCTGTATTATTCTTTTAGAAATTAATAACTTTAATGAAAAAATTGAAAGTGAGAAAAATACTTTCAACAGATCAAACTGAAAACTGGAATCTTCTACAGTAAAAAGTTTATTTTAAACCTAGTGTGTAATTTACAATACCTTCTGTATATTTATCTATAATATTCATAATATAGATGAGTTTACCCAATTACAGCTACAATGTACAATTATACACTTGTATAATTATTTATTATCATCAGTCAATCATCCATCAATTGATTTATCATCAATCGATTGATTGATCAGTTTCTAAACTCAAATTGAATCCTTTACCTTCTCTATACAACACACCAATTAGAAATAGTTATAATAGTTAATTGTTGTCACTTTCATGAGGCCTTGTTTAAAAAAAGATTCACTAAATCCAATAACGATCTGATTTAAGGGAAAAACAGTGAAGTGTTTGAAGTTCTCTCATCAGATTAACACTGGATTTCCCCACCTCATGTCCCACTGAAAGCATCAGTCTCTCTCTGGTTCACAGCCAGCAGAAAAGATAACATCCAGAACTGTATCTCTGTGCTGAAAGAGCCTCGGCACACAGCCCTCATGACCAGCCGAGTCACTAAGGAGAATGAAAGGAGGCAACAGATGTCCGTCTTACTGCACAATAACTGCCTCAAAGGAAATGTTGATTGAGACTGTGTGAAATGATATTCTTAAAGCTACACCTTTTTCTAGAAATATTTTATCCCTTAATTTCTCAGCTAAAAAAATCTGCCTTTTTGTTTAAAAAAAACAACAAAAAAAACATAGTGACTGTGACCTTGAGCTTGGAATAACCTGTACTAAGCTTTTAGTCCGTAAATGATTGCATTATCACTCTCCTACTCAGTACAACTGGAAACAACAGTCAGCAGGACATCCAAATATCACATTAATCCTCAGAGTTTTATATTCTACAACCATAGTGACAAAGCAAAGTCAGGGGATAAAGTTGAACAAATGATTACACATGGTTCATTGGAACATAGTTTAGACAGGTTTAATTGTTATATGCATACCTTCTGTGTTTCGAGCAAAAAATGCCCCCTGCCATCTTTTCATGTTTGTCTGTCCAGGATGATCAAGTGGTGCTGCAGTGTACTGCGTCCATTCTCAAGGAACAGATCAAAGTGTGTCTGTCATGTGAAGGATTTGGGAACAGGCTTTGTTTTCTGGAGACCACATCAAACGCTCAGGTAGAGAGAGGACACCTGATGTATTGCTTTTGGATTCAGTAGTTCCACTGACCTTCTCTCTTTACTGATTATGTTGTTTCAGAATGTGCCACCAGACCTCGCAATTTGTTGCTTCATTTTGGAGCAGTCTCTGTCTGTGCGAGCATTGCAGGAGATGCTCTCTAACTCCTCTGTGGATGAGGTAGGACACAATTAAAGGATTAAATGTTGCTTACTTTTACCAGCAGTGCTTGCACTTATACAATATATGTTCAATTAACAACTAAAATGTTCCTTTTTACCCGACAAATCTTGAACCTGACAACTGAAGGAGGTCGATTTGGACAAATGGGTAAGTGCTGATTTCAGTCTTCACAAGGCTATATCCACAAGGGAGTTTAAACAGCTTGTTACCTCAGCCAATGGGGTTATGTTTTAGGAGAGTTTATCTGTCTGTCTGTGTATGAGATTACTTGAAAAGTTATGGATTTTAATGACATTTTTATCAGGTGTCCCTCAGTTACATTTGGTGATAATCCAGGTCATAATCTGGATAAAGGATTTTTTTTAAAAAGATTCTCACATTTTGAGATAGGGATATTTGGCAGAATATGCAGTTCCCCACTTGACCAGAGGGTAGCAGCAGTGAGTATTGACAGCTTCAGCTGTCTGGAGGTATTTTACAGATGACAAAAACACAAGAAAGGGAACGTCGTTGGTTTGTCGCAAAACTCTCCAATCTTTATTTATTGAAATTACTGAATATAAAAAGGCCTTCAGCATGCAAAATGTTGTTGCATGCTGTGTTGCCTACTGTGTTGCCCATTTTCTTTAGTTTCATGTTTAATGTATCTCCTGTTATTTTTTTATCTACCAAGTCATTTTATTTAGAATCTCTAAAATTTGTGGTACTAACTGATAAACGGTTTAAATTAAATTACCACGCCTTTCCCTATTTCCTTCAGTCATCTCAAGGTGGAGGTAGTCGAACCCTGCTGTATGGACATGCCATCCTCCTGAAACACACTCATTCCAACATGGTGAGCACACAAGCATTCAATGCAACTGATTGTCTGCAGTTAAATATCATAAAGATGCACAACCATTAAATTCAACGCAACAAATTCATACCTTTAATGCGATTTGGCGAAAAGTTCTGTATCAACGCAAGGGAAACAGATGTAATTCACAGTTTAAAGCCATAGAGCTATATTAAGATCAAATTGCATATTGTAGCATTAATCAACTCTAAATTTATTCCACTCTAAGTTTTATTCCACTGAGTTCAATGCCTTGAGAATAAAAAATCTATTTAAATCCACCTCTTTGCAGTGTTCAAAATAAAGTGTTTCCTCTGCCTGAACTAGCACATAGTGACATTGGAAAGGATCCTCTTCCATTTAGCAGTAAAAACCAACCCTCTGTTGCAGGGGTAACTCCAGTACTCAAGGGCAGGTATCCTGCAACTATTAGATTATTCCAGGGTTGAACACATCTAAATCAAATGGCTGAATTATCTCCTCATTATGAAGTCAAAGGCTGTTTCTGAGCATCCACCCTAACCCCTAGATCCCTTAATCTCTATATAGAGCGGGGACTACTTAGTAGACTTTATAGCGAACTCAGATAACTGAACACTCAGACAGATAATCACTACTTCTCACTCCCCGTTGGTCACGTAACTCCGCCTCCCTGCACGGTGTCTGTAACATCTTTGTTATTTGTCGCCGCCACAACAAATGATGCTTTGTGAGGAGAGCTCTCGCAAAGCAATCTGGGATACAGCTGCCTGCCTAGTGACCATGGATGATCACTTCTTTTTAATGTCCAGTACTTTTTCATCCACTAGATGTTCAGACATCTAGTTTAAAATGGCGTAAGCACTATACAGTTTCCTACATAGGGATAGGGCAGACATTTGAAAACAGCTATTTTCTCCAGAGTCCTCCTAATTTTAAAATAACTTGATTCAGATATGCTGGACCAAGGACACATCCAAATGTTGCAGGATATCGGCCCTCAGGAATTTGAATTGCCCACCCCTGGGTGAATGATTTAGAGGTCAGAGACAAACACAGTAAAAAAAAAAAAAGAAACGCTCATCCAAGACTACTCTTGGTATTAAAATTGAAACGTATTCACAGACTTAATAGCATCAATTGCTGTGTCATTGATTTACAAAATGTGTAAAAACAATAGGGTTTGTCAGTGGCACAATTAAAGAAAGAAACAAAACTAAGTACAGAAGCATTTAGTGAAATTTATTTACTAAAGAGGGAAACAAACTACACAGACTTAATAACAGAAATGGCTGAATCAGTGACACGAACAGGGGCAGCTAAATAGTAAACAATTAACGTAGGGTTAATTTTTGTAGATTAACAAAACAGTGGCAGATTACAAGCTTATTGGAAGTAACAGGTACATCCATGACTAAACAAGAAGCGCTGAGTGAAGAGTGCTAAAATAAGACATGCTAGGGGAGTGTTGGCCTAGTGGTTAGAGCAGTGCACTTGTACTCTGAAAAGGTTGGAAGTTCCTGGTTAGATCCCCACTGCCTCCACTCTGGGTTCCTGGGCAAGACCCATAACCCCACCCTCCCTGGGCCCTGCACAATGGCAGCCCACTGCTCCCCAAAGGTTGGGTTATATGCAGAGATAAATTTCTCCAATGTGAGATCAATAAAGTTAAATTACTATAGAACAGAAAATGAAAAAGCATTATCTTCACCAGTAGACTGTAGAATGAGCCGGGCCTACTTTCTCTCAAGCTGAAAATGGAGAGAAGACAAAGTTGATGATGACAGTTGGTTATTTATAAATGGAGTATTGCATTTGAATGTAGCTAGTTAGAAGATGTGGTTATACTGACTATTTAAGACAACTCTCTGCTTGATTTAAACTATTTAATTAAAGTTGTGGCTGGACCACACATCCACTGCCTCCCCAATAATTTGAAATTTACCACTTCTGTGTGACAGCATTATGTAGAGTTAGTTTAGGAAAACCTAAACCTCTCTAACAGCCAGCCTTTATGACAATCAGGTGTTTTCTTAAAGTTCATGCTATTCCAGATGTAAAGATGTTGTCTTTGTTTTTATCACAGTACTTGAGCTGTCTGACTACATCTCGATCACTGACTGACAAGTTGGCCTTTGATGTGGGCTTGCAGGAAGACTCGACAGGTGGCTTTAGATGTTACTGCTATGAAGGAACTGCATGCATTTGTGAATTTTAGAAATATGTTGACTTTATTCCATTTCTCTGTTGTAGGAGAGGCCTGCTGGTGGACCATACACCCGGCCTCAAAGCAAAGATCTGAGGGTGAAAAGGTCAGGGTGGGAGATGACCTCATCCTTGTTAGTGTTTCTTCAGAGAGATATCTGGTTAGCATCATTGTTATACTATAAAAATCTGTTTTTGGTTAATCAGTCTTATTAATTTTATAAACTTTGCTCTGTTCAGCACCTCTCCTATGCAAGCGGTGACCTAATGGTTGATGCATCCTTCATGCAAACACTCTGGACCATGACCCCTGTCATGTCTGGCTGTGAGCTTGCTGAAGGTCTGTAGTTCCTCATTAATTGTGTTTGTCTATAGACATTGGCTTGTCGTTATTAAAAACAAAAAACAATTAACAAAGAAATAAAAAAACGGTTGCCTTCCAGGTTTTCTTATCGGAGGGTATGTGCTCAGGCTCTTCCACGGTCACATGGACGAGTGCTTGGCCATTCCAGGGGCAGACCAGGGGGACGACCAACGCAGGTATTTTTTGGGGGGAATTTTATCAGTTTGTAAGTTAGCTATCTGAAAATTTTCCAAAACATTTGAATATTTTCTTATATCATAGAGTTGCCCATTACGAAGGTGGTGCTGTATGCAGCCACGCTCGCTCCTTATGGAGACTCGAGCCTCTGCGGATCGCGTGAGATTTTTGTTTTCTCTGAAATTTCTTAATAACTGTTACACTTATATAAAAAAAACATCCTTTCAGCTAATTTGTTTCTGCCCTTTGACAGGTGGAGTGGAGGTCACATCAAATGGGGTCAGTCTTTCCGGATACGCCACATAACAACAGGACGATACTTGTTACTTGATGAGGACAAGGGACTTCTGTTGGTAGACCCAGAAAAAGCCAATTCCAAGATGTCAGCTTTCTGCTTCAGAATTTCTAAGGTTTTATAAGAACTTAGCTGTAGCTGGCTTCTTTAAAGCGTCTTTAAAGTGAAATCAAATATATAAAGTAAATAAATGTTTTTCTCCTAACAAAGGAAAAAATTGAAGTGGCCCAGAAGCGGGATGTGGAAGGCATGGGAACACCGGAGATTAAGTATGGGGAATCCATGTGCTTTGTGCAGCATGTTTCATCTGGACTTTGGCTTACATATGCTGCTGTGGATGCCAAATCTGCTCGTCTTGGACCTCTGAAAAGAAAGGTAGAACCATACAGTACATCAAGATTACAGCTAAAGTAGCCGCTTTTGAAAAGTAGTTTTGAAACAGAATGTAGTAAGCATCTGTTCTATACACACTGAGTTGCAAAAGTATTCATACTATCCAGTTTTATAAAAAAAATATATAAATGTAATCAGTCATCGGGAAACATTGAAAGATATTGCCCTTAAATAATATATTTGATTAGGAAATGCAATCTACCCAGGCAAATTTAATCTTAGTATAAATCCTGCTTTTTATATGAAGATCTCATAAGTTTGCTAGAAAGTATTATTGAATGACCACCATTATTAGGACCAAGAAGCATAGCAGACAGCAGCATTAGATCACTTCCGCTCTGCTCCGAGGTAAGTGTTGCAGTAAATATCCACCAATTATAATCAATCCTAGTTATTCTGACTTTGTAGTGAGGAGGAGGGCAACAAAGAGTTTATGGCCATGTTCAAAAATGTTGCTCCACTCAAATTGGGCCAGATTCTGGAGCAGGTCAGGGGTCAATTTACACAAACCGAACTAGACAAACAGGAAACCTATGAGCATAACATGAGTATTTTTTAAATAATTTATAAAGTATGGAAGTATGCAGATTTAAAGGGATTGCCATAAAGTAAAGAGATGCAGATATTTCCAATTCTGTGAGGTCTACATTAGATATTTATATTATGGACAATTTAAACATTGAGTGCAGCAAATTTAGCTAAAAAAGTGGATTTATTTCTGTGTACTCATCCACTGCAGAACAAAACTGTTTTCTGCTGACTTCTGCATTGAATACTCGTGTCTTTAGATGATCTTTGCCTGCTTCTCTGAGCATCACTGTAGAAAGTTTGCATAAAAGGGAGGGACATTCTTCAAAGCAACTGGGTACCTGCCTACCATGTTAAGTTTTTAGCCAATACCAACAGTACCAGCTTCTTTTGTTTTGCAAGCAGTGGGATTAACTGAAAAAAATGATCCAAACCATAGAGTTAAGTAGAGCTGAGTGGTGCTTATAGAAAAGGTACAAATGAGAGAATAATCAAAGAAAGAACCAAGACACATGTTAACTGGGTAGATGCAGACACCCACCAATATAGTACTTATGGAAAAGTAATGATGCTAGACGAAAAACATCACACATCATCTTTAAGACAATGTTACCGCTTAGGGGCACGGTGGTGGCATAATCAGGATTTAAGAAGAGCCAGAAAAGCTAAGTTGAGTTGATGGAAACACCAGAGATTCATAGAAGAATCCAGTTAGTCGATGCAAAATCCTTCAGAGTTTTTAGTTTTTTCAGGAAAACACTGACCAAAGAGTTGAATCCTTTTGCAAGGTATAGTGCATGTAAATCTTGATTTTAAGTGTCTATGATTCTGGTTCTCAGGCCATACTCCACAAAGAAGGTCACATGGATGATGCACTCACAGTTGCTCGATCGCAAACTGAAGAGTCTCAAGCTGCCAGAATGATTTACAGCACAGCAGGCCTCTTCAACCAGTTCATCAAGTAACTATTCTTCATTTCCTTATTATCTGTCTCCATTTGGTTGAGGTTTTTGTGAGGACCCAAATGCAGAGGCTGAGAGGCAGGGGTGAGTTGTTTGAAGATTTAATGGGATAACACAGGTAGAAAAAAACAGGTATACAAAAACCCAACATAAAAATGAAACACAATCCAGAACCATGGAGACATCAGGGGAAAACAATCACAAGGAGCCAGGGTGAGACAAAGTAAGATGAGGAACCAGCACTGAGGGACTGCAGAGGGAGTGTAGTTATGACTGACTGAACAAAGGCAGGACTAACGAGCTGATAAGGAGAAGGTGTGAGTAGAGCTGACGAGGAAGCCAAGGGAAAAGAAAACACAAGGGGGCAACAGAGGACAAGCAAAGAAAAACCTAAGAAACTTAAATAAATCCATAACACACAAATAAACCTAGAAAACAAAGAAAAACCTGGATAAACTTGAAACTGAAAACTTAGAGAAAACCAACAGAACAAAGATCGTTACAATTATCAATCTCTAAATTGTTCATTTTCCCCTCTAATGCTCATCTTATTTTTCTCGTGTTATGCCTCTAGGGGTTTGGATGCTTTGAGTGGAAAAAACAAATCTGCTAATCCGCCATCACTGCCAATGGACGCAGTGGTTCTCTCTCTTCAGGATCTCATCTTTTACTTCAGACCACCTGAAGAGGAACTAGAGCATGAGGACAAACAGTTCAAGCTTCGCTCCCTGAAGAACAGACAGAACCTGTTCCAGGAGGAGGTTGGTCCGCCTAGCAAGGGAAACAGCTATATGTTGAGTAATAATAATACTGAGTAACGTTTCATAAGTCAACCCACAATATTTCTTCTTTTTGATAGGGAATGATTAACCTCGTTCTGGACTGCATTGATCGGCTCAATGTCTACAACACTGCAGCCCACTTTTCAGAGTATGCTGGCGAGGAAGCTGCAGAATCATGGAAGGAGATAGTAAATTTACTTTATGAACTGCTGGGTAGGTCCAGCAACCTGTTTTTGCTGTGCATTACATCCATTCTATTTGTTTAGGGATGCTACATTACTGTTATTTCCCTTTTTCTTCTCACCCTGAAGCTTCTTTGATCCGAGGAAACCGAACAAACTGTGCTCTTTTCTGTGACAACCTGGACTGGCTGGTCAGTAAGCTGGATCGTTTGGAAGCATCCTCAGGTATCAGTGGGAAACTATATTTCCATTTAAAGTTTATATTCGTGCTTACTCTGGTGAGTAAGGCCTCTAGTTTCCGGACTTCCTTTGAATCATTGAAATATTATAGGCATATTACATACCTACCAAAGTTGAATTAATTTAAAATTGTGAGATATGTCAGATTTTATTCTTATTATTCTTATTATTTTTCATTATATTTATTTTTTCAATTTCTTTGGCAATGTTGAAGCATCTCTAAATAACTTGAAGGCCTTTACAGCTCAACATTGCCTAAACTACCAACTGTTCTCATTTGCACGGTAGGAATTCTGGAGGTGTTGTACTGTGTTTTGATTGAGAGTCCAGAGGTGTTGAACATTATTAAGGAGAATCATATCAAATCAATTATCTCTCTACTGGATAAGCACGGGCGCAACCACAAGGTTTGTACATTTTGAAATCCTTTTCCTTTGGCTGCTTCTGAGAGCAGTTCTCTAACTGGTCGTGTTACTGAAACCTTTTCCCTATAGGTTTTGGATGTGCTTTGCTCTCTGTGTGTCTGCAACGGTGTAGCTGTGAGATCAAACCAGAACCTTATCACAGAGAACCTACTTCCAGGTCGCGACCTTCTTCTTCAAACCAACATTATTAACTATGTCACCAGGTGGGTAGGTTTGCACAGATGCGTAGCCAGAACATTTTTATAAGGGAATAAGCCAATAACCAAAGTATACTGAGGGCGGGGGGGCACAAGTGGAGAGACTCCAGAACCTCAGGGTCAATCTACACTGTTTAACAGGAAAAAGCACAACGTCCACATTTCTAAATAAAGACAAACTATAGTTTCCCAAAGCCTTTGCTAACAGATAGATGCATATATTTAAACATCCTTCAAGATAAAAGGTGTAGTGGATAAAATTCTTTGAGGTTTGAGTTCTGGAGCCAACATCTTTTCCATCGTAATTACTTACCTACTTTTATCAATATCATTCTACTTTAAAAATATATTTATTTATAAGTACTAATATCTACATAAATTGATAATTTAATAGGTTTTTAATAAGATAGTTATTTACGGTATCTATGATTTCACTGAAGACTCTTAGATGACTTGCAGAGACACAACATTTTCTCTTTACGGCATATAACACAAAACCTAGTTCTGAAAGAGCATGAAATATGTACTAATCATCTCTAATGTTGGTGTATCGATGTGCATAATTAACCACAGTGTTTTTTGTTGTCAAGTAATTGTTAATATCTATAAAATTAAAATGTTTTGAATATTCTACTTGAGAGAAAAAAATGGTAGGGAGGGCCAGTGATTGGCTAAGGGTGGCCATGGTCACCCCTGGCCCCCCATCTAGCTCCTCCCCTGGTTTGCATGAGTTTATACTCTGTTTTTGTTTTTCTCTCTCTCTTCAGAGGGCTTTTATTCTTATCTATAACATTTTCTGTCTTCTATTACTCTAGCATGAGACCCAACATATTCCTTGGAACTTGTGAAGGATCTACTCAGTATAAGAAGTGGTACTTTGAGGTGATGGTGGATCATGTAGAGCCGTTCATCACCGCCCAGCCGTATCACCTGCGAGTGGGTTGGGCTCTGACCGAGGGCTACAGCCCTTACCCCGGTGGTGGAGAAGGCTGGGGGGGTAATGGAGTTGGTGATGACCTGTATTCCTATGGCTTTGATGGCCTTCACCTTTGGTCAGGTAAAACAAATATGTTGTTTCTTTAGCAGAAATTCTAAACAACAATTTTAAGACTAAAAGGTCAATCCGAGCAATTATTCTCTGTTGTACAATTCAGATATATTCAGTAGGAGCACTTTATTTCTACTCAAGTAAAAGTAACAAGCATCAACAAAAGCAACCAAGAAAATACAACAAGAAAATGAAATCATGAAATTCATGAAATCTATTTATTTATTCATTTAAATTTTTTTATAGTGCTCAAAAAGCATTTCAATGTTACATCTACTTTATAGCCAGTTTAAAACTGCTAATGTGCATAAATATCTAAAGCAGGGGTCTTCAACGTTTTCCAGGCCAAGGAGCCCCAAACTGATGGCGAAATGGAGCGGGGACCCCCAATTATATATATTGTATGAAATTGTGTTATATGAAATTGGTCCTATAGTCACTCTATTACAGATGGAGTCATGTAACGAACGTTGCTCTACTTTAATAATCCTGGGATTATTAAAGTAATTCTGATTCTGAGGTGTTGGGAATGAAACTGTGACCACCAATGTGTGCATTGATGACTGAAAGACATCTTCTGCCTCCATTTATCTGTTTACTACAGTGTGTTGAATTCATGTTAATGTGTATTTAAAGGCATTTCAATTAGTGGAAAAAATTGCAGGAGGGAATATAAAAAAAAGAAGTCTTATCAACCAAATGCAGTACCTCCGTGGACCCCTAGGGGTCGTGGACCCCCTGTTAAAGACCTCTGATCTAAAGGATCTAGCTTGTTTTATTGTTCTTATCTTATGAATATTAAAAAAAATAATGGTCATATCTATATATTCTTATAGTTACAGTTAATTAATATGTTGACTCTCGTGTTCCACCAAACACACTGACTTGGCTAATATTGTTTATTCACAAAAATGAGCTGTTTTAAAGCACTTTAAACAATAGAGATTACTTTTAAGACTCTATCAAACATCCATCAAACTCTTCATGAAAAATTCATTTGGACACAGATATTTTGTTGCTCTTCCTTTTATGACTGATGTCCTTAAAGAATTTTTTTTAGCTTAATCATTTCCATGTTTTGCAAAGCTACAATGGAAATATTTTTTTTCATTTAATCCAATTCTCTTTAATGAGGCTATAAGTAAATCAGCCACAGTTTTGGCATCGAGCCAATAATAACTGCTAACTGAAACTATTGTTAATCAAATACACTTCAGCTTATATGCTGTAGTCCTATTCATAGTAAAGGTGTTTATAAATAGAATCAGAGGTGTCACCTACGTTGTCAAGGGGACCTTGAGGATGTTTAAAAAAAAATTCAGGTGAGGCTTAAAGAAATAGATTTTTAAAATTAGACATAACAGCTAGAGAAAAATTAGACATCTCCACTGGAGAACTGTTTGCAACAGCAAAATGTTCTTGATTTATTTCATTTCTATATTTTCAGGCAGAAATTGCTTCTGAAACCAGATAGACTTCGAAGATTAATCTTTTATTCATCATTAAATCTCTTATAATCGTGGATTTAAAGTTTAAATAATAGGGATTTAATTTATATACATTGACATTTTAGATGATACAATTTAAGTGCATTTATTTGCCTAGCAACTAGTTCTTTAGATAGTGATAGCTGACCTACTGGCTGTCTGCAGGGCGTGTACCACGGCATGTTGCTTCTCCCAACCAACACAGTCTGGCAGCAGAGGACGTGGTCAGCTGCTGTCTGGATCTAAGTGTGCCAAGCATCTCCTTTCGTATCAACGGGCATCCTGTTCAGGGAATGTTTGAAAATTTCAACCTGGACGGTCTATTCTTTCCAGTCGTCAGCTTCTCTGCAGGCATAAAGTATGGCACTTTAAAAGTCTTTATTCCCCAATGTTTTTCTTTTTTTCTAACCAATGGATTTATATTTTTTTAAACAACTATCAAATGTCTGTTTGTTGTTCCAAATGCAAGGTTACGGTTTCTTCTCGGGGGGCGTCATGGGGATTTCAAGTTTCTGCCCCCTCCAGGCTACGCTCCCTGCTATGAGGCAGTGCTGCCCAGGGACCGTTTGCGGATTGAGCCCATCAAGGAATATAAACATGATTTTGATGATGTTCGTAACCTGCTTGGTCCGACCCAGTCCCTGTCTCACACAGCGTTCACTCCCTATCCTGTGGACACAATTCAGGTAAAATCCTGCCCTTCCACTGCATTGTCAAAGTGGTTAGAACCTCAGTGAAATTTAAATTTTTCATTTGATCTTTCAGATTGTACTTCCTCCTCATTTGGAGCGGGTCCGGGAGAAACTTGCAGAAAACAGTCATGAACTATGGGCTGTTACTCGCATAGAACAAGGGTGGACATATGGACTAGTGGGTTTTTTCAGGGTGTGACTCTTTTTGCTTTCTTTCTGTAGAGAAATTTGAGCAAAAAATTGTGCTTTTCCTTAAAGTTTCGTGACGACAACAAGAAGATGCACCCCTGCCTGGTAGATTTCCAGAGCTTGCCTGAGCCGGAGAAGAACTACAATTTAGCAATGTCAGGAGAGACGCTAAAGTACGTAAAGTCAAACTCAACACTCCTCGGGTTTTTCGGACTTTGCTCGTCTATTGACGGTTTTTTTTGTCTGCTGAGGCGTAATCCTTGATTATTTTATTAAGATCTAAAAAAAATATGGTTACAAAAGGGTTGGAGTTCAGAACTGTCATTGTATTACCAGATTTTATTCTCTATTTCAGAGGTGTATAACAAGGATTGTGAGACCCCCTAATGAGTTTTGGAAGCATTGCAGGGAGGTTGTTATATAAAAATGTACTTTGTTTTATCAAAAATAAATCAGGCAGAGTAACATTGTAATACTGATTAAACTACAATATTATCTGTCACCTTTACACAGACAAAACCTAAAAGAGGCAATAAACTCAATGTATTTTATTGTATATATTTTGACTGCGATTATAACCCTCTGTACTTAGAAGGGGGTTATGATTTCCCATGGAGGACATGTTGAGGGGTTCCTTGGATTGAAGACAATCCTGGATCCTGGCCTGAGAAACGTTGAGGATCTCTGCTGAATTCTATTTTCCAAAATAGGGTTTTCTCAAAGCATAGCTAATTGTATCCGATTCACATGTATTTATAAAGCACTTTAAAATTTCCCAGGGATCTAAGTGCTGTACAGGGAACAACAGCAAAACTGATCCACAGACTCAGAGGATTTAATTAAAAGCAATAAAACCATAAAATACATATAATAACATTAAAATAAGAACTACAAATAACTTAATATCACAGGCTAACATTAACATCTAATGTAGTGTTATAATCCAAGGGAAAAAGGTGAGTTTTAAGAAGTGATTTAAAATCAGAAAAAGAAGTAGACTCTTTGATACACTAGAACATCATTTAACATTTTGAAGCTGCCACAGAAAAAGTGCAGAGGCTCCTTAGTTTCCTTTTAGTTTTAGGCACCTCAAGGAGCATAGTCAGCTGACCTGAGTGAACAGGAGGGTGCATGAAGGTGCAGAAGCTTTAGAAAGATAAGATGGAGCAAGAAAATGGAGAGACTTAAAAACAACTAAAGGAACTTTAAAATTTACCCTAAAATGTACGGTGAGTGATCGTAATGAGGCTAAAATAGGGGTAAGGTATTGATGCTGACGTGGGCCAGATAAAAGACGTGCCACAGCATTTTACACTCTTTTGAGTCTAGCAACGTTTAAACCACTAACCCCACATAAAGTGCATTGTAGTAATCCAGCCGAGTAGTAATGAAGGCATGGATTACAAATTCTAAATTAGCTTTATTTTAGCCAACTGCCTGTTAGTAACCATTTACATCTGTTCTTTCAACCATAATGTAAGATCAGTTCTTAACTGGTCTGCAATCATGGGTTCTGATGGGATGGATAATCTTTTATTATTTGCTAGGGCAACATTCTCATTGTTAGATTATAAAACTGCCCAAAGAGGTTAGTTAATAAATATATAATAAATATCTTCCTGTTTCATTAACTGATTTTGTTTGCTTTTTTATATTCATTTTCTAGTCATTAGGACAAAAACTATCTGGTGACCCTCTCATTAAACAGCTAAATAGAGTTTTTGTTTTTCTAAAATGCATCTAATTCACATTCTTGCTGCCGACAATAAGTATTAAAACATTTCCTTGAGAAAAATAAAATGCAATCAATCCAAAAAATTTTGGAGGCCTTGTTTTATTTTATTTTATTAAGGTTTATATGTGAAATTGTTTTCTCTATTTCAAAATGAACAGTGATTTTCAGATCTCTCTACTGCAAAATCAGGCTGCTTTGTTTCTTTAAAGTGTCTTGATGAGCAGACAAAATAAGATAATGATATAACTTTTTTTTCTCTGCTAAATTAAACAAATTTGTAGCAAAACATTTGCAAAGTGCTGGTGCAAAACTTCCTTCCATCAGCACATCCTTTGATCCACACGTTTTCAAAACTGTCCGTTCATTCATCAGTCAATATATGTTTTCTTTGCAGATTATTTAATATCATTAAGCAAAGTTTGTTTATTATAAATTAAGAAATTAGAAATAAGGGATAACTTCAGAACTTCAGAAACCACGAACATTTAAAAAAAATAAATGAGCAGATTTTTTTTTTAAATCTCTAGTGTGTTTATTCTAATAGGACTCTGCTTGCTCTGGGCTGTCATGTGGGAATGGGAGATGAAAAAGCAGAAGAAAATCTGAAAAGGATCAAGCTCCCCAAAACGTGAGCTGCAACACATAAACATACCATTTGAGTTTGTAATGCTGTAATCAATTTATAATAAAATATATAGTATTATAGTAACCCTTTTATTAAATTTTTTTACCTGTTAGCTACATGCAGAGTAACGGATACAAACCCGCTCCCTTGGATCTGAATCACGTCAAACTCACTCCAAATCAAAACACGCTGGTAGAGAGATTGGCAGAAAATGGACACAACGTGTGGGCGAGAGACCGGGTTCGACAGGGCTGGACGTACAGTATTGTGCAGGTATCTACTTTGGATTAAGCTCAAATGCTCTATGAGTTACAAGAATGTTAAGATATAGCGGCTACATGAATGTTTTAACTGATTTGGTTTAACTTCATGTTTGATTTTTTTTTTTTTTTTCCAATAGGACATATTGAACAAACGTAATCCTCGCCTGGTTCCCTACAACCTGCTGGATGAAAAGACAAAAAAGACCAACAGAGATACAGTTTGTGCAGCAGTTCGTACACTGATCGGTTATGGCTACAACATAGAACCACCTGATCAGGAGAGCAGTAAGTTTGCAGTTTTTTTTATCTTTTATTTCATATGCACATTTTATGGTGAAAAAAAAACCATGTCAAATATTTGATTTAATGATTTTTTAAGTTTAGTACTGAAGTACTGTATAGGGGTTCACCGATTACTGGTTTCTGGCGATCACTGATTCTCGATGTTTTAGAAGCCCGATATTCCAATCCGATTTCAACCGATACAGATTTTTTTTTTATAACTAACACTTTCATTTGTTATAAGATCCAAAGACACAAGATATTTCAATCTTATCTTACAGAAAGAAAAAAAAATAACTAATCATTGCCCCTGAAACAATAAAAACTTCTAAAATAACAGCTCTCAAAGCTAAATAAAAATGTAACGAAATGACAGTGTGTGGTTTTCAGAGCTTTACAGAGGTAGATCAGATTGGTGGAAAAGTTCGGTTTGAAATCAATCAGCTGGCCAATAAAATCGGTGCACCCTTGGTACTGAATGGATAACACAAAGATCATGGGATACGACGAAGATAGACACACATGACTTTGATCCAATATGGCTGCCGCTTTTCATAATTCACCTTTTCTTTTTACCCTAGAAATAAAGATAAGATAAATGTGACGGAAATGTTCTTTTTTGTACCCTTGGTGCTTGTTTGCTTACATTATTCATAGATAGTCAGGAAAAGGTTTGGAATGTCATTTTAGTTTTTACCATGCCGATATAGGTTTGGAAAAGGGCAGTAGAAAAATATTTGCATTTCCAGACTACTATCTTTATTTGTCCAGACTACTATCTTTATTTGTCCTTTAAACTAATGTTTTTTCGTTCGTTGTCTATATTCGCAGAAAAAAACTTTTAAAAAATCCAATAAAAGTTTTGTCTAACTACTTCTAAAGTCAAAGTACCTCCACTAGTCTTTGTATCACAGATTGAGAACTGGGGGTGTTGTGTGTTCATTACTGTTATTTCCTTCTCTAGGTGGGAATGGACCAGGCAGCTCCCGTGGAGATAAAATCAGAGTGTTCAGAGCAGAGAAATCTTACGCCGTCACGCAGGGCAAATGGTACTTTGAGTTTGAGGCTGTGACTGTGGGAGAAATGAGAGTGGGCTGGGCTAGGCCCAGTGTTCGCGCTGATACTGAACTTGGAGCTGACGAGCTGGCCTATGTCTTCAACGGCTTTAAGGTGGGATGCTGACTAAGACTAATTACTTATGAAGGTTTGCTAAACTCCCTTTTGATGTGAAATTCTACCACAATGTTTCAGGCCCAACGCTGGCATGTGGGAAATGAGCCATTTGGTCGCCAGTGGCAGTCTGGCGATGTGGTTGGATGTATGATTGACCTCACAGAAATGAACATCATGTTTACGCTCAACGGAGAAATGCTGATCAGCGACTCAGGCTCAGAAATGGCTTTTAAAGATATAGAGATTGGGGAGGGTAAGCACAGGCCTAAAACAAAACAGAAATACTGCGTCTAATGCACACTGTTGATCATGCATATGTCAAACATTTCTAGGTTTCATACCTGTGTGCAGTCTGGGTCTCTCACAGGTGGGTAGAATCAATCTGGGTCAGAATGTCAGTAGTCTTCGTTACTTTACCATCTGCGGCCTGCAGGAGGGCTTTGAACCATTTGCTATAAACATGAAACGAGATATCACCATGTGGTTCAGTAAAAGCCTTCCACAGTTTATCACTGTGCCCACAGATCATCCACATATTGAGGTATTGTTACAACGCTTTCTCGAAATATTTCCAAATATCAGTTTACCTCGTGAAAATCCTCATCCTGATGCTCTTTCTCCAGATCTCCCGTGTTGACGGGACAGTGGACACTCCTCCTTGTCTCAAGCTGACCCACAAGACATTTGGGTCCCAGAATGCCAACACAGACCTGCTGTTCTTCAGAGTCAGCATACCAATTGAATTTCACGAGACTTTCAAAGTCCCTGCAGGGACGACGCTCCTAACTAAAGCTCTGACGATTCCCGAAGACCAGGTTTTAGAAGTCGACCCAAACTCTGACTTTGAAATACTTAAGAAATCAGCCACTCGCAAAGAACAGGAAGATGACAAGAAGGAACCCTCTGTGGCAAAAGAAACTTCAGCCAATAAAAATGGAGAGAATGAGAAGGATGCGTCCACAGAGAAAAGCAAGAAGAAAGGGTATGCAGTGCTTCTGATTTTTGAGACAAATAAGAAGGTTTTTTATTTTTTGAAAGGGTTTTAAAACCAACGGAAGTCTGCTTTTTTCCCCAAAAAATGTGGCTATAGTGTCATTACATTTATACTGCTTTTATTAAGAATTACTGAACATCAACAATGTTCCTTCCTTGGACTGGAAATGTCTTTAAACACATCTCCATTTTAAAGCAACCAATCTGCTGTTTTAAACAGTTGATTGCTTTATATCAGCCCTCTGACACCTTCCCCTGAATTAAACGGCAATTAAACACAGAGATCATGAATATCATGCTACCGTGTTACTGTGTGGCAAGGCTTAATCACATTCACAAGAAACTCATATGCATTAAGTTCATTTTTATAACAGTTTGATAACTTTGCAGTTGACTGCATTTCATGGTGTCTCTCTTTTCACAACAACCTTGACTCTATGTTTATTGTAATCTATGTTCTGTTGTTTCAGGTTCCTTTTTAAGGCAAAGAAGGCTGCATTAATAACTCCACCTCCTGTCGTTCCCACTCAGCCACGCTTAGTAGAAGACGTCGTACCAGATGACAGGGATGACATGGATATAATTCTCAACACCACTACTGTATGACCATTACTCATAGTTATTTTATTATCATATCCATGATCAAGTAAAAGTAATTCAAGCATTGAAATATGCAATTTGTTCTTTCTTGTATGAATACCCTTATGCCTAAACCAATTGTCATTTCCTTTTTCAGTATTACTATTCGGTGCGGATATTTGCAGGACAGGAACCAGGAGGCGTGTGGGTCGGCTGGGTCACGCCAGACTATCACCAGTATGATCTTCACTTTGACCTCAACAAAGTGAGAAACGTGACAGTCACTGTTGGGGATGATAGAGGCAACATTCATGACAGGTGAGATTTGTTGTGAGAAAATTTCTCATTTGTTTTGCTCTCAAAACTTAACTGTATACTTTAAAATCTTGAGTTTTCTTGGTATCTTTTACAGTATTAAACGGAGCAACTGCTACATGGTGTGGGGAGGAGAATTCGGCAATTCCCAGCAAACCCGCGTCAGTCAGGAGGACTTCGTGATTGGCTGTCTCGTTGATTTGGACACAGGGCTCATGACTTTTACCGCTAATGGAAAAGAGATAAACACCTTTTACCAGGTTTGTAGGTTTCAGCCTAGGTATTGCTGTTAAATCCTGTTTATTTAAAGCATTGTCTGCTTTCAGGTTGAGCCCAACACAAAGCTTTTCCCAGCCGTCTTTGTTCAGCCTTCCAACCAGAATGTGATTCAGTTTGAACTCGGGAAGCTCAAGGTAAACCGCCAACACTGTTCTGTTTCCAACCCTTCATGCACACTGCTGCTGTACAGGCTTTACTAAGAGGTTATCAGCAGGCATTATCTTTCCTGAAGCATTCCCTCTCTTTGAATTTTTGATCATCGCAAATATCATGTATATATTCTGAGAGGGCCCAAAAGTGAAGCTTGACATTATGGTATCTAAATATTTACAACACATGCCATTGCACTTAGAGTTAATCCAAATCAAATCAATTTGTTCAAATGGTTTTCTATGTAAGGAAAATCAGCAGATTGCATCAAGAGTTCACTTCTCCTGGATGAGCATGTGACCATAGTGTGCTAAACTAGTGTGCTAGTCTGCTTGCATTGTGCCGTTGACTGTGGAGCAACAGTAGAGAAGAAAGTTAAAAGAGAGTTAACCAAAAAGGTCCCTCTTGTCTTGCCAGAACATCATGCCCTTGTCAGCAGCCATGTTTCGCAGTGAACGTAAAAACCCAGTTCCACAGTGCCCTCCGAGATTGGATGTCCAGATGCTAACCCCGGTGATCTGGAGTCGTATGCCTAATAACTTCTTGGCTCCAGAGACAGGCCGTGTCAGCGAAAGACTCGGTTGGATGGTGCAATGTATGGAGCCGCTCACAATGATGGCACTTCACATCCCAGAGGAGAACAGGTCAGAAACATTCATTTTACGAATACGAGCTAAAATTGTTTATTTCTTTTATTTCGCAGAGTAACCTGGCACTATGTTCTATTTAGGTGTATAGACATACTGGAACTATCTGAACGAATGGACCTACTGAAGTTCCACTACCACACCTTAAAACTGTATGGTTCGGTGTGTGCCTTGGGTAACAACAGGGTGGCACATGCGCTATGCAGCCATGTAGACGAATCTCAGCTCTTCTACGCCATAGAGAGTACCTACCTGCCAGGACCGATGAGGAGCGGCTTCTATGACCTGCTTATTAGCATGCATCTAGAGTCTGCTAAACGCAACCGCCTTGGAACAAACAAGGAATTCATAGTTCCAATGACAGACAACACACGCAGCATCACTCTTTACTCAGTGAAGTCTCAGTTACCAGGCGTCGGCCTCACAACATGTCTACGTCCGAAACTCCATTTCTCCGCCGTTGGATTTGTGGGGACAGACCCAGATATCTACACATTAAGTCCAACCATCCCCTTACAAGTGAGATCTACTCTTAATAGCACTTTCAGGATTCTCTCTCTCAATATAAAGAAAATAATAATTTGCTTTTATTTCTAGGTGTTAAAGACCAAAGCTCTGAACATGCTTATCGAAGCTGTCCAGGATGGAATTCAAGCCATGAGAGATCCAGTGGGAGGCAGTGTTGAGTTTCATTTTGTTCCAATCTTGAAACTCATCAGCACACTTCTAATAATGGGTGTATTTGACGATGAAGATGTCACACACATCCTCAAAATGATTGAGCCAACAGTCTTTTATACTGAAAAACCAGAGGAGCTTGCGGAGGAGCCGCCAAATGCAAACGCTGAAGAGGAATTGCCAAAGGTAGCCGTGGTCAAAGAGGAGGAGCAGGACGCTGTGGCAGAAGACGAAGAGGAGTTTGAAGATTATGGTTATGACGATGAAGAAGAAATAGGTGAGGAGGAGGAATTAGAGGAGACCGATTTAGATGTCCCACAAGGAGAAGCGGTGGAGGAAATAGATTTAGTGAATGGTGAGAAAGGAGCCGAGGAAACAGAGAAAGAAACTAAACCTGTAGAGAGTTGTGGGGAGGCTAAAGAAGAGCATTTAGAACAAGGACTTTTTCAGATGAAGCTACCAGAGTCCGTTAAACTTCAGGTACTTTGTTCATTTTGGAGTCTACAGAACTTTATTCAACAAAAACAAAAACAACATGATTTTTAAACAATGATAAAACTCTTTTTGCTTTTGTTGTTTAGATGTGCACCCTGTTGCAGTATTTTTGTGACTGCGAGCTACGTCATAGAGTGGAGGCCATTGCTGCCTTCTCAGACAAGTTTGTCAACCAGATACAGACCAATCAGAGGCAGCGCTATAATGAGCTCATGATGGCCTTCACCATGACGGCTGCAGAGACTGCACGAAAGACTCGTGAATTTCGCTCCCCGCCGCAAGAACAGGTAAGGAGACTACAATCGTATTAGTTATTAACATGTACCAAAAGGAAAACAAATCACCAATTTTTATTTTTTTGTTTGTTTGTTTGTTTTTTGGAGGAGACACTTAATAAAAAATAAATAAAAATAAAAAGAATCTGCCTTTTGAAAATATTTAAATGTATGAACACAGGACATTTGCTCTACGTTGTGCCTGCTGCTAAGATGTGCTTATGATAAAGGAATATTAGCCCCCTCTTCAATGATCTCCAAAATTGAAAAAAACTACTGTATTTTCTAATACAGTTAAAAAATACAAATTAAACCTATCAAAAAGAGATTGAATTAATTAAATAAGATACCGTTTAGAGTGGTAGAATAGGGACAAGATGAATAAGTATGTTTGTACAGCATAAATTTCTTCTGTTTTACAATGTTAGAGCTCTTTTTTTGTCATGAATGACATTGGCCAATGGGTTATTTAGTTGTTTAACAGTATAGCAATCTTAGAAAATATAAACTTCAAAATTAAAAGAAAGTACTGAGAAAAGATATTTCCGTATTTTGGGATTTAGAAAAAAACAAAGTTGGTAATCCTAACTTTATAGCAGGAATAGTTTAATGTTGTTTAAAATTTCACTGTTTATTTTTTATTTTTTTGACTGGGGTCAGTCAATAAAAAATCATATTTCATAGCATTGAATGTTTTGTGAGATATGTTACATCTGATCTGTTTGCAATGAGTTTCCACTAGCTCGCTCACTGTTGTGTAGGTCAACATGCTCATGAACTTTAAAAACTGCCCTGACGACGAAGAGTGTCCTGTTCCTGATGAGGTCCGTGAATCCTTGCTGGCTTTTCATAATTCTCTGCTGGCACACTGTGGTCAGTTTTAATCCACTATGCTTGATGTCACATCAATTCCTTTCATCTTTGCTTTTCAAATAGACAGACGAATCAAATCATCCATGCACTATTTTTAAACTCCAACTCTTAGGTGTTCATATTGAAGAGGAAGAACAGGAGGAGGAGGTGGATAATTCTCTACGTGGACGACTGCTTCGTTTGGTGGAGAGGGTGAAAAAGTTTCGAGAAAAAAAAGTAGAGGTTGAGGTTGAGCCTCAGGAAGACAAAAAACCAAGTAAGTTCCATATTTCACTTGACGTTACGAAACAATTGTGTAATTTTGCTCACAAAAATTATTTGAAAGAGTATCTGGTGTCAAACCTTTAAAACTTAAAATGTGTCTATTCTTGTTTGATTCTCTTTTGTAATCCAATCAGGCACGTTACAGGAACTCATTTCCCACACCATGATCCACTGGGCCCAAGAATCATTCATTCAAAACCCTGAGTTAGTGCGCATGATGTTCAGCCTCCTTCACAGACAGTATGACAGACTTGGTGAACTTATGCGAGCGCTTCCAAAGGCTTATACCATCAATCAGGTATCGATACAGGACACCATGGATCTGCTGGAGTGCCTGGGTCAGATCCGCTCACTGCTTATTGTACAGATGGGTCCAGAAGAGGAGAGGCTTATAATTCAAAGCATTGGGTATGAGGGGACAAAAAAATGTTTTTTTTTTTTTTTTACAGTTTTTGCCTTGGGTAAAACTGTGGGTAAAAGACCTATCTATATTCTCCTCTTTAGGAACATCATGAGTAACAGAGTTTTCTATCAGCACCCCAACTTGATGCGAGCTTTAGGCATGCATGAGACTGTCATGGAGGTTATGGTTAATGTGCTGGGTGGTGGTGACTCAAAGGTATATATATTCATCATCTTTTTTTGGCTTAAATGTAGGCAAAAAACAAGCTTAAATATTAAAATATCAAACATATTTTCTAGGCTAATTAAAGGCAACTTGAAATAATCTCAAACAGATGAACAAATCTGTTTGACCTCTTATCTAACCAAACTGCACCATTCTTTTTCCCGAACAGGAAATTCGATTTCCCCGAGTGGTCACAAACTGTTGCCGATTCCTCTGCTATTTCTGTCGTATCAGTCGCCAAAACCAGCGATCCATGTTTGATCATCTCAGCTACCTCCTGCAGAATAGTGGCATTGGCCTTGGTGACTGTCACTGTTAGTTCCACCAATTTTAATTGCCAAAATATGAAGCCTTGGTTAACATGAACTTTTTGTTTAGGAATGCGTGGCTCTACCCCCTTGGATGTGGCTGCAGCATCATGCATCGACAATAACGAGCTAGCACTGGCTCTCCAGGAGCAGGATTTAGAAATGGTAAAATATTGTATTTAGTCACAGTTTCACAGATCGACTTTACTTACTATCTGTTAACACTCATATCAATTGCAGGTGGTGAAATACTTAGCTGGGTGTGGGCTTCAGAGTTGCCCCATGCTTCTGGCTAAAGGATACCCAGACATAGGTTGGAATCCCTGCGGTGGAGAGAAATACCTTGACTTTCTTCGTTTTGCTGTTTTTGTCAACGGTAAGGAAAGATATTTACATACCTTCTGTTTTTTATTTCATAATTACAAGGAACACAACTTTTTTTTCTTCCTCCATGTAGGAGAAAGTGTGGAAGAGAATGCCAATGTTGTAGTGCGTCTTCTCATTCGAAGACCCGAGTGCTTCGGTCCAGCTTTGAGAGGAGAGGGTGGTAATGGCTTACTGGCTGCTGTAGAGGAAGCCATTAAAATATCAGAGGACCCTGCAAGAGATGGTCCCAGCATTAAGAAAGACAGACGTTTTCCCATGTAAGAGGTCTCAGTGTTGTTTCAGAAAGAACTTTGCTTTAGTAGTCCCTTTGTTCTTACCAGCTTTAGTTAGAACAAACTACTCTGTTCTTATGGAATATTATTACCATTATTCCGGTTTTCTAATTAAATTAATCTATGAGACAATTGCAGATTTCCGTGTGGCAAGAGTGACAAGATCCTGCAGTGTAGCTGACACAAACATTTTTAAGACACATAGGAAATATAAAATGTTTAAATTGCAGAAAATATGTTGTGCTTTGATTTCTACTTAAGAAGGTTGTGCCTAGCACAATAACTGTCTCACTAATCTTATGGGCTATTATTAAATTTTAAATATGAAATCAAACCAAGTGTAGACGTCTAGAAACAATCACATTATTTAAAAGGTTGCATAAACTAGTAAAAATATTTATAGCATCTTACATCTAGAAACTGTACGGCATTTACTGACATTCTTTATTAGCCAACTAACCTCTACAGTACAGTCAAAACTGTTAACCCATACCCCATGGATGACATCATCACGCTGTTCAGCATCAGTCATATACTACACAGCATTTTATTTTTTTTCTGAAAAGGTTTGGAGGAGAAGAGCAGCAGGAGGAGAACAGGGTGCACCTGGGAAACGCCATTATGTCCTTCTACTCTGCTCTCATTGACCTCCTTGGGCGTTGTGCTCCGGAGATGCATGTAAGATATACAGAACCACAGCATCCTGGCTAGATTTCTATAACAAGAGTAACTAATTTTTGTTCTGTCCAGTTGATCCAAGCTGGAAAGGGTGAAGCTCTAAGGATCAGGGCGATTCTTAGGTCTCTGGTTCCTATCGAGGATCTTGTGGGAGTCATTAGCCTTCCTGTTCAGATTCCTGCTTTGGGAAAAGGTAAAACATTTTTGGGGATCTTAAATGTTAATCATGGATGTTTGCTACTTTTATACTTGAGTGTTATGACCTTAGTTCTGCCTTTTTCACTGTGGAATACCACAAGGTTCTGATCTTCAGTGGTTGACGACATATTTGATATTAAGAAGTTTCTCTGTTCAAGTAAATGAGTGTTCCTTACCTGTAGCAAAGCAAGCACGGAGTTCCTTAGGGGTCTCTCCTGGGGTCACTCATGTTCTTACTACAGGTGTCCTATAGGACACTTCCTTGGCTTAAGATAGCATACAAGTACAACTGCGCTTAAAAGTTAGATTTAAATATTCCTTAAATCATTCAGACAACATCAAAGCATCATTGAGTCTCACAAAAATGAAACTTAGACCCTTTTTTGGATGAACTGATTTAAATAACATTCATTCCTTTCTTGGTTAGGTCTAAGAAAATGTCTGATTACCTGACAAAGTGATCACAGTCAGCTTTAAATTGTGAATTTTAGCCAAAACAAGGCATAAGGTAAAGTCCTGTTTCCCCTCAAACATCTGCAAAATAAATCTATCACTCAAGTCACCCTTGACCTACAATAGTTCATTGTACATATGTTTTCAATCAGCTGTCCCCAAGTCATTTAAGGGTGTTACAAAAAGCTGCACTTTGGCTTGTCTCATGCATTTCTACAGTACTTCTTGCAGCTTTGCTTGTCGCTTAAGAGGTCGAGACATGATTCTTTATCTATATCATACACTGATGAGTTCATGAGAAATTAATGCTGACCAGCTATTAATTCAACCAAGCCTCAAACACGCACACTTACATTATGGCTTCTAAAACTCGAATTACAAAAAATGGCATTTGCTCCCTGATTACTATAGATTTTTAAACTGAATTGGTTGCATACAGAAGGTAGGTGTCTTCACAATGGCTGGCCCAGTTCTGGCCTGTCTATTTTATCCTTTAATCTAAACTTTAATATTCTTTTTAAATAACTTTTTTATTGTTTTGGAGTTTTTATGATTTTATATTTATTTTGTTTTTCTGTTTTTGATTATTTTTGTTTTGTTCACTGTTTACTACATCCTTTTGGTCCAGCTTGTATACATTTTAAACGTCCCTTATGTTGTGCTTAGACAACACCATCATAGAGCCAAAGATGTCTGCTAGTTTTGTGCCAGACCACAAGGCCCCCATGGTTCTGTTCCTGGATAGAGTTTATGGTATTGACAACCAGGATTTCCTGCTCCATGTGCTGGAGGTGGGCTTCTTGCCTGACATGAGGGCTGCTGCCTCTCTGGACACAGTGAGTCAAGAGCTTCTTCTACATTACTTTGTCTCTAGTAATAAAAGATTTAGCTGACAGCTGGAATCTGTTTCCAACAGGCTGCTTTCAGCACGACAGAGATGGCTCTCGCTTTAAACCGCTATCTGTGTACTGCTGTGCTGCCGCTCATCACCAAATGTGCCCCGCTGTTTGCTGGCAGCGACCATCGTGCCATAATGATAGACTCCATGCTGCACACGATCTACAGACTGTCTCGAGGTCGAGCCTTCACAAAGGCACAGAGAGATATTATAGAAGAATGCCTCATGGCTTTGTGCAAGTAAGCTAAAACCTCAACCAAAGATAGCCAGATTTTTAAACTAATATCTTCAGGTTTGTGCCTGAAGGCAGCTCTGTTTTCTTATACCTTCAGAAATCTGCGTCCAGCCATGCTTCAGCACCTGCTGAGACGACTGGTGTTTGACGTACCCATTCTAAATGAGTATGCCAAAAGGCCGCTGAAGGTATGGAAAGGATTGATCATTTTCAAGCAATCAAAACATGAGTTTTACCCTTTTTTTCACTTTTATTGTCCTGCACCCTGCAGCTGCTGACCAGTCACTATGAGCGCTGTTGGAAATATTACTGCCTCCCAAATGGTTGGGCCAACTTTGGAGTTGCTTCAGAGGAAGAGTTGCATTTGACTCGCAAACTTTTCTGGGGGATCTTTGAATCCCTGGCACACAAGGTGGGGTCACAGCAGCGTTATGTAGCTGCCAATATATTGATGCCAATTAAACTTCTTCACATTTTATAATGATAAACCAAAAGCTTCAGCATGTCTGATTGGTTTCCTGTGACAAATCAGAAATTAGCAACTTCATGCTAAGTAGAGCATGAAGTTGTCATAATTGGTTTAAGCGATCTGACCCACATGCAGAGAACCACTCAGAGACCAAGGGAAAAAGTTTAACAGGTTTATTGAATGTTGATGAAACACAGAAGTAGGAGCTGGAACTCCTACTAACTGAAGGAGAGGTCACAGTGATCAGTTCAGGGGCCGTAGGAAAGTTGACTGAGGCTTGAATCTAGCTGGAGAGAAACTCACGTTTGAGGGGGCTCTTTTTAATCCTTGAATCCAGTTTGTGGGGTTAATCCAGAGAAGAGGGGACTCATTGGAGAGCGGACAGGTAGACATACGTTGGACCCAGAGGATTAAAGGAGTGGACTATCACTTGGTTTTCCAATGAGGACTTGAACGGATCATGTGGAGGTTATCCCCTGCTCAGTGTGTACTCAGTAATCCTTCCAGGGGGAGAAGGTCCAGGTTATCCAGTTACACAGGAAAAGGCTTCCTGCCGAAGAGCAAAGACAAAAACAAGATTAGACTCAGAGAAACAAAGCTTCGGTTAGACTCTGCTAATCTCAGCTTTGCTAGAGTACCCAAAACTGGCAAACACTCTGGCGCCGAGGTAGTGACAGCCCACTGTTCAAATACTCCTCCGGTAATGATCCAACGAGCCGCAGGTGTGCAGGGAGGCCCATAGAGGACAGGGCACCACCTGGTGGTGGAGAGAGAAAAACACAAAAACAACCCACACAAACTGAATTCCTAACAGAAGTTGTAGGAGTGTTCTATGCAGCTGAAAATCTAAGAGGTTAAAGGGCAAACTTTGTATACTAAGAAAAATGTAGGGATGTCTTGTGGTTTGAACATTGATGACTAACCTGGTTTGGTCTCATTTTATTTTAAATGAGGAACTTAGCCAAACAGAATGGATAGTGTTGGCAAACATTCCCACTTGGATTTAGGTCTGGACATTTGCTTGATCATAGAAAGTATGAAAAAGCTTTGAGGTCAAATATTTTATTGTAGCTGTTTTGGGGTTTTCTTAAGGTTGTTGACTGCCAGGCTCAAACAATTTTTTAGGTTTTTCAAGTATCTTTTTAAAAATCTGTAAAATTTCCCAGGTTTTATTCACATGGGGGAAAAAAAAAACACAGGATACAGTAAAGACCAAAAGATTCACAACAAAAGCATTCTTAAAGATACACCACAGAAGAGGTTTAAAATCATCCAACCAGACTTCCACTTAGTTTTCCTGAAAATGTTTCAACATCTATTCAGGAGTCTTTGTCTATTCTGTCAGCTCACACTAAAGCAATCTAGAGTTTGAGTGCTGATGTTTTTAAGCACCTGCAGACCCATCCTGCTTAGCACATTCCAATCAGATGCAAATCAAAGACTCGCCCGTTGTTCTCATTGGTTGTTGGAGTGTACTGTTTTGTATTGGATTTCTGTTTGGCCGTTTGATCTTGAAGAGTGTGCTTGTGTCTCTGTCCAAAATCTGAATATTTTGGTCATCAAAGGTTTGTCTTTCTTTCCTGAGGTGCAGTTGTACAGCTGATTTTGCTTTTAATTGCTGGCTCTCCTGTGCAGTTCCATGCAATGGTGTAGTTTATTGTTTGGTTTCTCCAATGTAGGAATATAAGCAGTTTTCACTGCACTGTGCCTCATAAACAGTGCTGCTTGGCTTGGATTTGGCTATTCTGGCTTTGGGATGAACCCGTTTTCAACTGAGTGTGTTACTGGGTTTGAGATTCACCGATATGCTTGTTTGGAGAAAATCCTGCGTTTCTCTGAAGCTCCTAGCACATCCTCTGGATTTCACAAATGCCATGTATCAGTAACCACATGTTTTGACCAAAATGTTCAGATTTAAGACAGAGGGGACAGATGGTTTGAAAGAGGGTTGAAGAAAGCCATCTTTGTTAATGAATAAAAGCCATCACTGAACAGAGAGGGACGATTGTGTTTTGTTTTAGCTTTCAAGGGTCTACAACTCGGTCATGGAACACATTTTAAAGAGGTTACACAATGGCACACGGTAAATGGCAAAACATAGATCCTGTAGAAAACCACAGACTTCATTAAACAAGAATGACGGGTGGATCTTTATTTTGCATCTAACTTGAAATGTACTGAGAATGGACCTTCAGGTGCTTAAAAACATCAGTGGTCCAACTACATGTTGTAGTTGTTATTACATGTTAGTGCAAGCAGGCAGAATTTACAAAGAGTCTTGGATAGGTGTTGAAAAGTTTTTAGAAAACCTTAACGAAAGTCCAGATGTCTCCAGTTTAAGCCTGTTTTATGGCTGACATGGCCTGGATGACTGACAGGCACTTAAAAGTGAAAGTATAAATAGTTTTTTTTTTTTTTGTTTACATTTATATTTATTATATATCTTTACTGACTAGAAACAATTGTAACATGCTAGAGTGGACCAGTTAGAGTTTTAATTTAGATTAACTAAAGATTACAGTAATAGTAAGGAAATATTCCATGCTCAATCCATTTATTTTCAAACAATTTAAAAAAAAAAAACCTTCTTTACATATTAATTTTGTCCCTTTGTGTTGATCTGTCATAAAATAACCAAATACATTCAAATTTTTTATTCTGACATCACAAACAAAAGGTTGTTGGGGTATATGTAAATACCTTCTTTAAACAGCCAATACTGTATTTTTTTGTTACTACTTTAACATTTTGTCATTTATGATACAGAAATTTGATGCTGAAATTTTCAAGATCTCAATGCCCTGCCTCTGCGCCATCGCTGGAGCTATTCCTCCAGATTATGTGGATGCCAGCTATTCCTCTAAAACTGAGAAAAAGGCATCAGTGGATGCAGAAGGAAACTTTGATCCTAAACCAGTTGAGACCACAAAGTAATTTCTTTATTTCTGCGTAATGATTGCATTTTTCAGCTACTTTTTCGTCATAGCTAAGTTTTATCTGATATTTGCCTTTAACAATAGCACCATTATCCCTGAGAGACTGGATACATTTATCAACAAATATGCTGAGTACACCCACGATAAATGGGCTTTTGAAAAGGTAAGACACCTTACTATAACTTAAAATTATATCTTGCATATCCATTGCTGTAATTTAAGACAACAACAACAACAAAAAAAAACAGTTTCTTTTATTGCAAATGCTACAGTTATCACAAAAATAAACTTAATTTGTGATAATGAATGTCAGATGTATCTTTTTTGCAGATTCAAAATAACTGGTCATACGGTGAGGTTCTGGATGAGAATGCAAAAACCCATCCCATGCTCAGACCATACAAAACCTTCTCAGAAAAGGTAAACTGTCTCTTTAGCGTTGTTTCACACATTTCCAGAAACTGCCTGGGCGTCACATAGGCTGACTTTCTGTTAAGGACAAAGAGATCTACCGCTGGCCGATTAAAGAATCTATTAAAGCCATGATAGCATGGGAATGGAACATTGAGAAAGCAAGAGAGGAAGAGGAGTCAGAAAAGAAGAAGGCAGCTTCAAGAAAGATTTCCCAGACTGCTCAGGTTTGGAGCTGTTTCGTGTGGTTGTTGTATATCTGTAAGGAGCCATTTCTATGCTATCCAAGAGGATCTTTCTGTTGCAGGCAACGTATGACCCGAGCCATGGCTATAGTCCTCAACCTATTGACATTTCACACATGGCACTTTCTAGAGATCTGCAGGTATGGCGTTGAGGATTTAACAAAGTCCTTCTTTTTTCAAGCTTATAATTAATGATAACTTCCATTTGTTCACAGTCAATGGCAGAGCAGCTGGCCGAGAATTATCATAATACTTGGGGACGCAAGAAAAAGTTGGAGCTTCAAGCAAAAGGTAAAGCATTTCTTGGTATTTTAAATCCTAGTATTTGAGGATAGAGCTGTTATTAAATCTTTTTGTGATTGTCTGTGTAGGAGGAGGGACACATCCTCTGCTGGTGCCCTACGACACCCTAACAGCAAAAGAGAAGGCCAGAGACAGAGAGAAGGCTTACGAGTTGCTCAAGTTCCTACAGCTCAATGGATATGCTGTCACAAGGTAAAACATCCTAGCCTGGGTGCCATTCCGAACTCAGTCCCTCCCACAACGTTTGAGGTGGGGAAGTTCTGACTAGAATTGAGTAGGACTACGTCAGGCTAAAAACATCCAGGAACGTAAGCAGAATACTTTTACTCTGATGTTATGTCATGCTCTTCGATGTAATTGTGAAAAAGAAGTATTTGCATGCAAATTGTTTAGGTAAAATTTGAAGCTGCAATATCAAGTAACACTCACTTGCCAGTATCAGGTGAATTGTACTCTCCATAAGATATAACTGTTTTGAAGATATTAACTAACATTTACTTCATTACGTCAAAGTTTTAAGTTTGATTTATTTATACAAATTTAGTAAAGTGTAATTGTTTTTCATAAGCATGAATAGCATTTTACTAAAAAAATTGAAGTAACTCTTATATCCCTGTAGTATTTGCTGTTATGAAGTACTGTAATTAAGTAGATATTTTTATTTTCTTGTCCTTGACATATTGATTTACTTCGTTGCATAATGTTACATTACTCACTGATATTAGGTAAACTTTTTTGATAAATGTCACCAAATTAATTAAACCAATAAAGTCTATATATTTAATACACATTAAACAGTTTATTTTTCATTTTAAACAGTTTAACAAAGAAGTAAATATCCTTTGTATTAAATTGCCCAATCTTTCTTGGGCCAGCCAGAAATTTGACATTCTAACTGGAATCCATCCTTCCATCCATTTTCTGTCTCGCTTAATCCCAGTTGGGGTTGAAAGGGGTGCTGGTGCCTATCTCCAGCTGTCAATGGGCGAGAGGTGGGGTACACCCTGGACAGGTAAACCCTAATAGAGTGTAATGCACAGAAAAGTCACTTTTTTTAAAGTGTAAAAGCAGGAGCACTTTGACTACAGGCTGGTTTAGACCTTCGTGGCAGAACTAACAGTGACTCCTGGAGAGGTGTTGAAATGTTTACATAAAAACTGAGAGGAAAGTTGTATTTCCATCAGCTTTTTCTAATGCATATTTTAAGAATTGCATCAGAAAAGCTTGATGGAAACGGCAAAGTAGAAAAAAAAAAAAGGCTTCATATTTGCTAAAGTTTTTCTGCTCACTTTAGGTGTTTTTTTGGCTTTTGCGAAAAAAGGGTTATTGCACAAAACAGTAGATGGAAACATTTTTTCAGAATCAACGCTGCTTCTTCCTGGATGTTCTTATGATGTGCATAAACATGGCTTGAAGCATCAGCGCCATTACTAGCTGACATGTTGAAGTAAAAACAACTTGCCTAATAGCAACACATTTATCTGTTTTCTGCATTACTGATCTGTGTTCAGAGCTACAGTAGATTGCAGCCTTTATATTCAAGATTGATTTTGTGGATACTTTGGCATCCGGCTCGACTCAGATACCAATGGCAACTCTGTATAAAGTGAAAAAAGTAAAAACAAAAAAACCTTGTCAAATACAAGCTCAGGCTATGAGAATGCTCAGAAGAGTGCTACAGTTCTGTGTTTTGGCCACAAGTGGCAGCATCATTAGAAAACTCTGTAATGCCTTTAACTACAAAGCAAAAGTCACTTACTCACTATTTATAAGCAAAAAGAATAATTCATCTGCTCCTAAAATATGATAAAACATAATCTTGAAAAATTTAACTTGTTTTTGCACAACCAACAGTTTATATGATGAATGGCCTTTAGTCTACAGTGGTTTATCTTGCTTCTCTTTTTAAGATATTAAATCACCCATTTATAAACATATTCAAACGCTGACATATGCACAATTGTTTTTAGATCTTTTTCTTACATTGTTTAAAAATGGTATTTTAAATACACAAATCTTATCCCCTTTGTGCCTAAAATGCACTTAGATTATTGGAAGAATGACATTTAGAAACTCCAATAGTTAAATAACGTATTGATTCTCATAATTTGTCTACTTCCCTGAGATAGTTTCACCCTCCTCTGCCCCCCCTTAGGTCCACCACTGCCTTTCATACTGAACTAAAACAGGTTTGTTCACTAGAATAAAGAATGTGTCAAGATGTCCTCTCTATGTGTGTTTAGGGGCCTGAAAGACATGGAGTCTGAGATATCGTCAATTGAAAAGAGGTTTGCTTATGGCTTCCTGCAGAAGCTGTTGAAATGGATGGAAATAGCCCAGGAGTTCATAGCTCACCTCGGTACAGTGGAGCAAAATTGGAAATAACAATTACACGAGTGTTTTGCATATCTAAAAAAAAAATGCATTGATGTTGGAGAAAAAAATTAAGACTTTTTAAGCCAGTGCTAATGTAATATTGCCATGATTTGCTTTGTGTTTTATAGAGGCTGTGGTGAGCAGTGGACGAGTGGAAAAGTCTCCTCATGAGCAAGAAATCAAATTCTTTGCTAAGGTAAGGCTACTGTGTAACCATTATGACATTTTCAAGGCTTACCCTCATTGTGGTACTAATGAAAAATATATTTTTGTAGATCTTGATGCCTTTAATCAATCAGTACTTCAAAAATCACTGCCTCTACTTCCTATCAACACCTGCAAAAGTCCTCGGTAGCGGCGGCCATTCTTCCAATAAGGAGAAGGAGATGATTGCAAGGTGCGTTCTCTCATCTTTAGAGATGTATAGCTTGGTTGACCTTCTCTACTTTTCTTAACTCCCCTCACTTTATTATTCTCGTCTTTTCTTGGATGTCTCTTTGCTTTTTTCCTTGCTTGTCATAGTATCTTCTGTAAAATGGCTGCTTTGGTGAGGCACAGAGTTTCTCTCTTTGGTAAGATGCAAATCTATTTCTAATTCTTTTGTTGCCCGTATACTTTCCTGAGTCATCAGCCCTTTTTTGACTCGGCCCTGAAAAACTCTAAATAAATGAATATATGCTGAGTTTATTTCAAAATAAATCAACCTATGTTTGTTTATGTAGGAACGGATGCTTCTGCAATAGTAAACTGTCTTCACATCCTGGCTCGTTCTTTGGACGCAAGGTTTGCTGCTTCTCTGGATTAATGCGTCTTTATTTCTCTCTTTGAGTTTGATGTTTCTGCATTTATGTTTTGTGTTCTTGAAGGACTGTGATGAAATCAGGGCCTGAGATTGTGAAAGCAGGCTTGCGGTCATTCTTTGAGAGTGCTGCTGATGATGTGGAGAAGATGGTTGAGAACCTCAAACTGGGCAAAGTATCCAAAGGCAACCAAGTACATTAAGTTTTAAATTATTTCCAACATTTAACTGCTTAGGACACAAAATGAAACTGGAATTTAATCTAAATCCTGAATTCTGTCTGCCTTCTCCATGAAAGCAAGTGAAAGGTGTTTCGCAGAATATCAACTACACGACTATTGCCCTGCTGCCGGTGCTTACCTCTCTTTTTGATCACATCGCCCAGCATCAGTTTGGAGATGATGTCATTTGTGAGTTTTCTTACCATTGTTTTTAAATAAATTGTTTATAATAATTTAACCTGACTCTACTGTATATGCCTCTGGTTATTTGTATGTAGTGGATGATCTGCAGATTTCCTGTTATCGCATCATGTGTAGCATCTACTCAGTTGGGACCGTCAAGAACCCACATGTTGAGAGGTAACTTGAATGATGTACAAAATGGTGCTACAGTAGTAAGGAGAATGACACCTTTTTAGTAATTGTTCCACAGCTTGACCTCTAAATTATGGAAATATGTAAGTATGGAAAGAAAAAAGGCATAGGATTGAAGTAGGGTTAATATGGTGATAATGCAGTATCTAAAAATGAATAAATTCTCCAACTGTCTCTCTAAGTGGGGTTGAGATGTGATCCTGTAAATATACTGTATGAAGGTATTCAACTATTCAACACAGTGAAATAAACAGAGATCGATGGATTTCACTCAGTTGCCACTTTATTTTTATCAAAGAGAGAACAGTTCATCATACGGCCTTTATTTCATGGTAATCAGCCCTGTTCTGCCTGGGCAGCGTTCGTTCCCCCTTACTTACAATAATGGAAAGTTGTCAGAGTCAAAACTAATTACAGACACTTTGGTTAAACTGTAACATGTTATGAATAAACCTTGAGAAAGAATCTTTATTATGGGAAGAAGTATTTGTTGTATGCAAAACTCTTCTGACTCAGACATTTTGTGGCCTTGCAGGTGAAACACACTAAGTAAAAACTTGTATAGTGAGTTAATAGCATTAATCAATATATTAAATAAGTAAGTACATTTTCTGACTACAAGAGCCACAATATATAAGTAAATGCAGCCATTATTTATATAGTTATTTATTTATCTATTTATTTGCTTAATACATGATTTGAATATATAATGTATCATTGAATTGTAAAATGCACCATTGAATTAGAAAATTTCTCAATAAATCATTAAAAGTACATTTAAAAGGATTAACCAAAAGATACAATGCGTTTTTGCTAAACAAAATGTATTTAAAACTGAATAAAACAATCTAATAAAGATAATTGTTTGACTAATATTCAAGAATAAATATAAGGTGTAGTTATTTTATGTATTTTCGAGGGTGCAAGCCCGTCTGTTACATTGCAGAACCCCTAGTTTGAATCATTGGTTTCCAAACTTTTTGATATTAGGGCCAAAAATGTCCAGGAAAACGTGCGTAACGGCACCAAAAATTGTAATTTTTACTGAATTAATACTTTTTTTTTTTTTCATTTTAGCCTACATGAAAACAAATGACCACACATTACTTAATACACAATAAAGGATCTCTTGTAATGTTTAATTAAACAAATAAAGTGGACAGATTTCGGTGGAAAAGTGCTCTGTTAATCATTGTACCCCGAATTGGCTTGAAGGTTGCTCTGCTTACAAAAATAAATAAATAAACAATAACCAAAATTTTGGCAGTGATGTGACATGATATGGATTAATCTTCTTTTATGGTTTGCAACCATGTCCGCTTTTGATAAACCACTGAATGTTTGTAGTCCTATTTTCTGCTTAAATTCAAAGCCAGGCTAAAACCCTTGACTGACAACTTAAGGCTACTTTAAAAAAAAAAAAAAAAAAGAGATCATTAATTTAAATGATGACATCCTGGATTAATAAATAATAATAAAAAACAAGGCCACACATTTAGTATCACCCTAACATTTACTACATGCACTGTTTAAAACTCCCAAGCCCCTTGGTCACACTTTGGAACATGAGTGTGGAAGAATATTACATTTTTATCTGAATAATGTCTCACTCAGATGTTTTTTTTTGTTACCAGGCAGAGACCAGCACTTGGGGAGTGTCTAGCTCATCTTGCGGCAGCAATGCCAGTGGCCTACTTAGAGCCTCATCTAAATGAATTTAACGCATTCTCTGTGTACACCACAAAGACGCCAAGGGAGAGAGCCAGTGAGATTAAATTCTTTTACTACTCATCTAATTCCTTACTCAGAATGAAAGTCTGTCTGATTTTTCTTTAACTGCTTCTCTTGCCAAGTCCTCGGTCTTCCTAATGCGGTCCAAGAGTTATGTCCTGACATTCCACCGCTGGACCTTCTGCTAAAGGAGATTGGAGACTTGGCAGAATCAGGGGCCCGCTACACTGAAATGCCTCATGTCATTGAAATCACTTTACCCATGCTGTGCAACTACCTGCCTCGGTGGTGGGAAAGGGGACCCGAAAACTTCCCTGAGATGCAGGATCAACTCTGCACCGAGGTTACATCAGAACATCTGAATCAGCTTCTAGGCAGCATCATGAAAATTGTAGTCAACAATCTGGGTATTGATGAAGCCTCATGGATGAAGAGGTTGGCTGGTGAGCGCTTCATAAACCTACTTTAAAGGACTAAATTAGAATTTCTGTTCAGGTGACATGGCTAAATTTGCTTTTTCTGATAGTGTTTTCCCAGCCCATTGTAAGCAGGGCAAAGCCAGAAATGCTTAAATCCCACTTCATTCCAACAATGGAGAAGCTGAAGAAACGCACGTCAAAGGTGGTGGCTGAGGAGGACCATTTACGGATGGAGGGGAAATCAGAGGGGGATGAGGAAGATGGGACCATACGGGATGAGTTTGCTGTGCTCTGCAGAGACTTGTATGCTCTCTATCCTCTACTTATTCGCTATGTGGACAACAACAGGTACGGGAAAATTACCAGCATCATTTTAAGCTTCTTAACCAGGATTCCTACTTTTTTTCCCGCCTTGCCTTTTCCTCTAAAAGCTGTCAGGCTAAGCAGTAAAGTAATTCCTTCATAACAGAGCGAGGTGGTTGACCTGCCCAGACCCAGATGCTGAAGAACTCTTTCGAATGGTTGGAGAAGTCTTTATTTTCTGGTCCAAATCACACGTGAGTTTGTTCATCTGGCCTTTAAATAACAAGCAGCAGTTGGAAAGTTAACCTCAGTAATTTAAAAAATGTTTTGCTTTCAGAACTTCAAACGAGAAGAACAGAACTTTGTGGTGATGAATGAGATCAATAACATGTCATTCCTCACTGCTGACAGCAAGAGCAAAATGAGCAAGGTGAGATATTGCTGAATTTAATTTTAGGCACTGTTTTTACCTTTGATGTCATAAGTCATTGTTTTAACATTTACAGATACTTTTAAATTTTTGTGAAACTTAATTGGTCTCTATCAAATTTACAGGCAGTTGAGATTGTAATTAATCAGTTCAAAAGCTGTAATAATATTATGGTTGCTGATGTTTTTATGTGGTTTCTTGTGATAACTCTAAAGAGAAAGCAACTCTTTATATCTTGATTCAAGGATGATCAAAATAATCTTTGCATGTTAATGAGATATTTACTAGAGGGAAGTTTTTTTTAGTTTTTGGTTACTTGAGGTAACTATGGTGGATTTCCAAGTAATAATTTATTTTCCTTGCCCTTAAAGATAAAGCATTTTCTTATGCAGGGTGCATTCCCTAAACCAGCAGTCTGCAACCTTTACAATCCAAAAGGCCATGTTTGTCACTAGTTAGCTAAAAAAAACTTTATAGTAGGGAAAATTTCAAGACCTTTTTTCATGACCATGTCACTTTTAAAAATTTTCAATTTCAAGGAAACAAGTAAACAACTTGCAAAAATCAATAAATGAGTTGATTCTTTTGAAAAAAAAAAAATAAAAAAAATAAAAATTCCAACTTATAAAAGATCTGAAAAATAAATATTTCTGTAATACTTAGAGTCCATTTTTGGGGAAATTCAATGTAATTCGTTGGTGGGGAACATGTAATTGTTATACCTATTTATTCATTCTTCTTAAAAAAAAAATGTCCTTAAAAGTGGATAGCATCTATCTTTACTGAGAAGACTTTAATTCAATTTAATCAACTGAACATATCTGGTAAGAAATGGCCTCCACCGATGCTTCCATTCCAACTTGAAAAACTCACCTTGAAAAGTTCCTTAGAGAAAAGGAGAAATTATCATTCTTATGTGTCTCACATGCACTAACTGATTTAAAAATCTCATTACTCTTTATTTATTTATATAATTAATCTATACATAGATATGTATGACTATCAGAAGGTTAAGAAATATGCATGATATTAGAAAATAGCAATATTTTTATTAGTAACATATTTGACATTTGAAATGACATTATGACAGCAATAAAGACCAACTACATTCAGATATTGTTATTAGACAATGCTAGTTTTCTAATTAAACAGTAATTCTGACCTCCTGGTTACCCATAATGCAACAGAAAAATTGATTATCTTGTTATCAAATCAACAGGTAGTTTTTCAATGACAATAAAACCCCCAACATAACATTGTATTTTGAGCCTATGAAATAAAACACTAATAAGAGATTTTAAATGTTCCAGATGATGGTTAAACATTTGAATCGTCCTATTTTGGTTAAATGTGTCATCATTTACAGCTCTATGAAAGCACAAAAAATGATTAAAAAGTGAATTGTATAGCAATACTTGTTAACCAAACTGGGTTGAAAATAATGACACTGAAGTAATCCATCTAGTGACTTCAAGATCAAAGCATTTTCCCAATACCAAAATGTCTCATTATCGTGAGTTCATTATATTTCTTATTTCAAGAAAACCACATAGAGGCCATTTAAAGTGTATATAACTACCCTTGGGTTCTGTGATAGGTTTTAAAGAAAAAGAAAATGTCATTTTTGGCCATATTTAAAAACAAACTAAACTGTAATTCTATGGTATGTCTGGTTTTGCAAATGGTGGACTCTTTTTACAGGGCTCGGTGGAATGTGTTATAGTTTGCTGTATTTTCTCAAGGCTTGTATATTAGCTCCCTTTATTTATTCCAAAGAGTAGCAGTTGTGTTAACGATATTCTCTCTCTGGCTGTCCTCTGTGCTCTTCTTTTGGGTTGCGGCTGTGTTTCCAGGGCGGTGACACAGAGGTTAGACTTTTTTCTGCACGATCGCTGTGCTGACCGCATGGCACCTCACTTCTGGGGGAAATTTTCATCAACCCCTCCGGCACACTGGCACATCTGATCCACATTCACCTTTAATCTACAAAGAACACCAATGATCGTGCATACACTTACTTTCATTCAGACAGAGCCGGCCCAAGAATTTTTGAGGCCCCTCAGCAGAACTTGATTCAGGGTCCCAATTTAATTTGAAATTCTTGTTCAACTCTAAGGCATCAGGTTTATAGCATTAGGTTCTGTAAAAGCACAGTTTATTTTCTTAAAGACCGACTTTGATTGTCTGATGGTTCTGCTGGTATTTACGGAGAAATGCAGAAACATTTTTTTTTTTCAATCAAAAGTTTAATTGCTGGAATATAAAAAAAGATTTGGAAATTTGTTCTTATCTTTTTTTTTTATCTCGGGTATGATTCAATTTAAAATCACCTACTTGTTTTAGTCATTAAGGACAAAAAAAACCTCTGGCTGTTATAGAACAAGTCAAAGTTGGAAATGAAAGAATAAGGGGCTAATTTTTATCTAGCAATATAAGTATAAGTTTAAATTTTTTTCTTTAATTGAATCGCACATCATAGCATAGCATGGAATAGCATTTGAGGACGAAATGACCCATTTCGTCCTGTTGTAGTTTCATTTTTTTATTTGCTATTTTTCCTTTTTTTTAAACAACAGATTTATGCAATGGCTCTACTGTAGAACACAGCAAATCCTGCAAGCTTTCAAGAGAAAATTATTAATTTGTTTAATTTGTGCCCCTAAATCATTATTTAATTTAAAAGCCACCCTGTCCACAGAAATTGACAGACATCATTAAACTAACTACATTTAGTTAAGACTTTTAGATGACTGCTAGGAAATTTGGTATTTTCCTCTTAAATAAAAAAAAATAAATAAATAAAAAATTAAAAAAAAAATAAGATTTTGAAGGACTTAAAATTGATCCGAATTGTATTTTAAGCATTAAAGCAAATATGAACTTTGGAGATATAAAATTCAGTGTGTGAGCTTTAGAAGTTTAGAGCCCCCTGCTGGCTGGGGGTCTTTCTAAACAGCTTAGAGTAAATAGCCTTGGGCCAGCTCTGTATTTGTTCCAAGTTACAGACACATACAAAGCCAAACACTTACATAGAGACATTTCTAACTCCACTTTAACTTGTGAAATCAAAAAATGAATAATAGCAAGTTAAAGATGCTCACGTTCTAAGAGGATCCCAAACACATACAGTCTGCCTGTGGGCTGTTGCCAGTCCTGCCAGTGTGTAAGGAGGGGAGTCTGGAGGCGCTTGATGAAAGTAAACATCTGTAGAGTTGGGCTCATGGCACTGGTCTTTACATGGATCCAACTGAAAGCTCAGTGCCATCATCCTCTCACTGAGTTTACCCTTTTTATCTGTTATAGCTGAGTTGGGGACTTCTTGTTTGCTTTTTTTTTTTTTTTTACTGTCATTGAAGGTAGTAGAGCTGTATGTTTCTGTAATGTAGTTTTTTGCCTCTAGGGGACGATGTTAGTCTTCTCTGTGCTCTTTCTTTTCTCCTCCCTTAAAATGCCATTGGACATCATGGCTTAGTTTCCTCTAGACTTACAGCTTTGCAGACTAATACATGGTTTGATGCTTAATATCACAGAAGTAGGTTTTCTCACACCTGTTGGGTTCCCTCTTGAAATTAAAAGGACCATGAACCTGACTAAAACATTAATTCACACTTTTTTTTATGACTTCTCTAAAATGTTTGCACCCTCTGAACTACCTCTGTGTGACATGAAATATATTTTGCTTGATAGCGGTTGCTGTTAGAAGTGGATATCCCTTATGGTAGCAGGGGTTGATAAAAATGTCCATGTTTGATAAGTTAAAAAAAAAAAAGTTTAATGATAAAACATCTATAAATTTCACTCAACTCTGGTTTCAGATTTATTTCCATTAAAATCCCACAGAAAATACTTTTTTAAAAAGTAAAAAATGAATCTGTATAGACTTTTATCATACTGTTAATATTTACTCTGTGCTGCATTAGATACATCACCATTTGGCACACCTAATATAGCGATGAGTTTAAAGCTTTCACCCTCAACTGTGGTGTTATGTCAGCTAGATGTATTTGGTGCTTCCAAATTTGCAGCCTCATACTGTCACAGTAAGGTTATTGTCCTTTTATATGGCAGGCTGTAGCCTTCCAGGGTTAAAAAAAACAGCAGCTAAATTAATTCAAGCTTTTCATTTATTTTAAAGTCATTTTTTGGTGATTTTCGTGTGACTGGTTAACAGCTTACAATAAAATCCAAATTTATTCAGGCAGAAAAATCTCACATGGGAGAGTAAAAAAAAACAAAAAACAAAAAAACAAACAAATACAAAACAGAAAAAACCCCACAACTTTTCATTTTCATACAATCACATCCAATATTAACACATAATTGTCCAAAAATGGACAAGGATACAACTATTGTATAGAAATGCTTTTAGTGTGTTTTAGGGGAGCGGCGGCCTAGTAGTTAGGGCATTGTGCTTGGAATCCAGAGGTTCTGAGTTCAAGCATCACTTCCACAGACTGCCACTCTATTTCCCTGAGCAAAAGACCCTTAACCCCACAATGCTCTCCAGGCACCACACAATGGCAGCCCACTTCTCCCAAGGGGATGGGTTAAATGCAGAGAGTTAATTTCTCCATTGTGAGATCAATAAAGTTCTATATATGGCAGAGTGGTGGCCTAGTGGTTAGGGCATAGAACTTGGAATCCAAAGGTTCTGAGTTTGAGCCCCACCCCCACAGACTGCCACTCTAGTTCCCTGAGCAAAGACCCTTAACCCCAAACATGTTCCGGGGTGCTGCACAATGGCAGCGCACTGCTGGTGATGGGTTGGTGGATGGGTTTAATGCAGAGAGTTAATTTTGTTGTGCTGTACTTGTGACAGTGTCATTAAAATTACACTGTCACACTTCCAGTTTCTCCTGCTCATTTAAAGTATGTGACAATATTTTCTTACATCCTAGACTTTTAATTTGATCTTTATAAATGAGGTTTCTTATGAAATAAAAAAAAAAATCCAGTTACCTGATACAATATAAATTTACTGTCAGGAATTAGTAAAAACATTTTAAACCATTCAAACTCAAATTAAGCTGGATGCTAGGAAGGGTGAGAAAAAACATTTTACTTAACAAAAAACAATAGACGGGTATGATGTACTCTCACTATGATCTCTGAAGTGTTACCAGGATTTTAACTGGAACATTAACATTGATTGGATTAAACTAAACTTGAACATTTAAGCTGCAAACACTCGAGAACGGTTTAGTGTAAAGTGATTGATAGAAAAAAAAGTATAGCCAAGAAAATTTTTTTTTTTTTACAACCCTGAAAGAAAAAGCTAAAAAAATTAATAAATTAAAGGCTATTTTTTTGTTTTTTTTAATACTTCATTTCGACTCTAACCACAGTCAAACCACAAAACCTTGGATAGTAATTGAGGGTCCGGGCTTCACTAAAAATCACCTAAGGTCTTCTGTAAATTACACTAAGGGATCCATCGTGCTGTGTATCTGATTCTCTTCTAAAAACCGTGGAAACCCTGAAAGAGTCCTTCGCATTCTGAACAGTGTTAAATACCACAACATTTTTAATACAATTATGGTCGCCAGAAAATAGATAATCACAGGGTCATCCAAATGAATAATGATGATAATGATTCAAGATACAGAACAATTAACATAAAAAGATAAAAGGTTCAGAAATCAGCTATGTTCTATTATTGTCTCATTCCCAAAACTTAAATAATTTACATGCAGAACGCCCACAAGGTGAGCTAAACAGACAGAGCATAAGAGAGCCCGGTGAATGGTCTCTAAAGAGAATGTGAGAAAAGCGAATGGTCAAAGATTTCTTTCTGTTTATTCTAAGTGTAAAAATAAATTATTGCTTTTAAAAAGTGTCAGATACAAAGTATTAACAGTATTGGCATCAACACTTGTTGCATATTAAAAATGAGTATTTCTTAACATCCCCCACTAAATGAAATCTTTCTCACACAGTCATTAGATCCATGAACAGATGAAACCATGTCAGGTTGTTTTTCATAGTACAAACTGTAATAGTGTTTTGCTGAACATTTATTTATCTTTTACTGCTTTAAGGATGGAAAACATCAACGGTTTTATAGAGCATGTATAATGATGGAGGAAATATATTCATATCATAAGGTACCTTCGTGTACCACACATTAGACCTCTCATATTAATTTGTCAACTTTGGAGGAATCCAGAAAGAGCAGCTAACAGAAGAATTGAACTCTCACAAAACAAAAACGCATAGTTTGAGAAGTGCACAGTGATATAAACCAAAAAAACAGATGTTTGGTTGTTTAACTGCATGCATCATACAGTTTTAACATGAACACCTATTCTCTAACTACATACAATATTATAACTTTTAACAAAGATAACAAGTAAGAGTGCTTAGAGAATACTAAATGGGTACCTGAGTGAATAATTTTTTTTGCATGCTCATGCTCATGTAAAAGTGATATATTTGTTTTAATAAGATCCATTCTTTTCAGACTTCCTCTCCCTCATGACACCACTTTGCTCTCAAGTTTTCTTTGCACCCACAGTTTATCCCTCTGAGCTCAGAGAAATAGTAAACACATATTTTGATTGTTTTTCTAAAATTTATGCTCAAATGTACCGGTAATATTTTACCTATGCATAACAGTCAGATCTTTACCAAGAATCCTAAATGATGTTAGTTAGGCATTTCTGTTGTTATCCAAGTAACCTGCTTTAAAGTCTGCAGTGCCTTGCAGAAGTAATCCTACTCTTTAAACATGTTTTGATACATTACAAAAACAAACTTGTCCAAAGACTAAAACAAGAACCATATGATAGCTAAGTTCAACGGCTGTAATGTTTTGAATATGTTTTACGATTAGAACTTGCAAAGCGGGATGTGACTTTGTGCCTCTGTACTCTGATAAAACGTGCATCAATTTGCCTTTCAGTTAGTAGCTGTACTTGTGTGTAATTTATTCTCAGAATAATTCCAGCCACAGAGGTTTTTAAGAGAGCTATAGTGAAGAAAACTGCACTAGGAAGACTAAGAAACACACCAAACAACTCAGGGATAAGGCTATAGCTAGGACCAATGGTAGGTCTGCATGACCTGCAGAAATCAACTGCACAGGAGCAAGAATCTGTCAACAGGCAGAACTCATCTTGCACAATTTTCTACCTTCACTTTGCCTCATCAGATGGAACTTTTTGGGCCAAAATGTCTGAGGAAAATGTCCCATCACCATAGAAAAACACAGCGCTGGAACAATCATGCTGAGGGAAGGTTTTTCTCTGGTAAGGGAGCTTTTAAAAGCTGATAGGGAGCTGGATTGAGTCACATAATCCATAAAACATAATCCTCAAATTACCCATTAGAAACTCCAAAAGAATTGAGACCTGAACCTTTTCATAATTAACGCCCTATTGCAGCATTATTTTTATAGTGGTTTCCTTTTCTCCTATACTGTTTACATTCTGATGCACTCTATAATTCCATCATTGTAAGCTGTAAGCAATGTTATTTCATTCTGTATAAACTCTCGGTACACAATAACAATAAAGTTGGTCTAAATCTAAGACCAGGGTTGAGGTTCAGCCGCACAGCACCGTAGTAATTACTGAAGGGTTTATAGCAATACTTGATCATGTTATGATTTTCCAGACCTAAATCAGATTAAGAACTGGTGGCGAGACCTTAAAAACGTCTGCTCACAATTTTCAACCAATATAACTTTGTTAAAGACATTTTGAATGGAAGAGAGGCCAAAAATATATTTTTTCTAGCAGAAGGAGGTTCTTCAAAGAATACAAATATTAAGATTGAATATGACTCAATGACGCACTTGCACAATGCATGCAACTCTTTTAAAAGACACCGGAATGGGACTTGTATGAAGTGGTGGGACATTTTGCAAGGCACTGCAGTTTTAAAACATCAAAAAGTTTAGGTTATTGTTAAAAAAAATGCTTTTTTTAAAGTCTCAATTAAGACTATAGATTCCAACTTTCACATGTAAATAGATGTATCATACATAGTAATCTATCTTTTGAGAATTGCTATTTTCTGCTTTATGTTCTATATATAATGAGGTATGCATGTCCAAGGCGTTACAGTTCAAAGATATTAGGGAATATTATGAATTCTTTTGGTTTGATGTGGTTCCCAGGGTGGAGGCTCAGACACCGAGCGCACCAAGAAGAAGAAACGGGGAGATCGTTACTCTGTTCAAACATCCCTTATTGTTGCTGCCTTAAAGAAGATGCTCCCCATAGGCCTGAACATGTGCTCTCCTGCTGATCAGGAGCTCATCAACTTAGCCAAAATCCGCTACTCTTTAGTAATGTCTCTTTATTATTTATTTTGTCTAGTAACTATTTAGTTATGGAGATAGCTGTTGCTCACTAAGCTGTTTGTTTTTACTTTACAGAGGGACACAGATGAAGAAGTAAGAGAGTTTCTGCAGAACAACCTCCATCTTCAGGGAAAGGTGTAATATCTTCCACTGTGACCAAAGGGTTATTTTTTAAGATTAAAGGTTTGGCATGTTGGTCAATAGATAATTAGGAATTTAGCATCTGAGGAATGTCTGTGTCCCTTTTTTGTGGAAAGGTGGACAACCCCTCCATGCGCTGGCAGATGGCCCTGTACAAAGAGATGGCAGGAAAGGCTGAAGATGCTGACGCTCCAGTGAAAGTTGTGAAGAGAGTACAGGAGGTGTCCGCTGTCCTTTATCACCTGGAAGTGGTGAGTGGTCCAGAGCAAATGTTCAATGTTATATCATCTGTTTCATTGCCGTTTTACCTTCAATGTCTCTCTTCCTGTAGTATTTTATTGCAAAATATCTTATTATACTGGACTTGCCTTTAGTGATTTGATTTCTGTCTGTAAAAGACGGAGCATCCTTTTAAGTCCAAGAAGATGGTGTGGCACAAACTGTTGTCTAAGCAGAGACGCAGAGCCGTGGTGGCCTGCTTCAGAATGACACCGCTCTACAACATTGCAAGGTAAGAAACCTAAACTTATGTTAGACATTTACTGAATGGGTCGAACACTTATGATGGCTAACAGACATATTGTCCGACTCCTTTTCTTTCAGGCACAGAGCTTCAAACATGTTTCTTGAGGGATACAAACGCAACTGGATTTACACGGAGGGTTTCTCATTTGAGGACAGGATGATAGATGATTTATCTGTGAGTGACTCATGTTTTATCTGGATGAGGATTTTCATAGTTATCTCTTACATTTGCGTGTCCTCTAATGTCTAGAAAGCAATGGAGCAGGAGGAGGTAGAGGAGGAAGAAGAGAAGAAAGAAACAAAACCGGATCCCCTCCACCAACTTATTCTCCACTTTAGTCGAACAGCCCTGACAGAAAAGAGGTCAGTCAGACCCCCAGTGGTTCACAAGGGTTGATTCACTCAGAATGCTGTCTTGTCATGACTCAACATTGTCCTCTTTTCATTTAATTCTAGTAAACTTGATACAGATCATCTCTACATGGCGTATGCGGACATTATGGCAAAAGTTCGTCCAAACATTAAACCCCAGCCATGAGCTTTGATATTTGGTATCGTGTTTTCTCAAAAACTAAAATTATTTTTGCTATATGTCATTGTCTTTATTTTAGAGTTGCCATATTGGTGAGGAAGAAGAAGGTGGAGACGAAATGATGGAACAATCTGAAGATGAGATGCCCTTTGAGGTGCGACAGTCAGAACTGGTAATGGGCGGCCAGGGGCTAGGGACCAGACACACGGTGGAGCGGTAGACTTCAATGCATCGAGTGACCTCATCATCGGAGCATTTACACCACAACCACATCTCTCTCTTTCTTTCTGTCCTGTTGCGTCATCTTTATGTGTTTTTTGACAGCTCTGCTTTATTCATCACTAGTTTCCTAATTTACTAACCACAAAGTATTAACTGTGGCAAGTCTCTCCCTAACCTTTATTTTGAGTTGTTTATTTAGTCATTCAAATATAGATTTATTAGTGCGCTTTCACTTTTGTCTCTGTTCTGCTAGAAAGCAAAGTTCATGTCTCCGAAAGGGACAAAAAGTCATATAGAAGCTACAGAAACAAAATATCCCAAAACCAGAACATTTCCACCATTATTGAGTGTCAGTATGATAAGTTTTTTTTTTTTTTTCTTAAGTGCGGTAAGTTTTATCTCAGATAAAACGAAACGCAGCTTCTTAAATTTCAGTGGTTTCCGCAAGACATTGGGGATTGTCAATGTGTGGTTGGGTAACAGTGAGAAATAACATACAGTATTCACATTAGTCTTTAAATAACAGAAAAATGAAAGTAGTAATGAATGTCATAATTTCCATTATTTGTCATTTATCCACTATTAGTTTAATCAATTTCAATTTATTTTACTGGCAGCGGATTTTTTTCTGTCTGTATATACATATATATCTCCCCAGGTTATCTTTATCCAATATTAAAATGTCTCGATGATCTGAAACATTCAAGTGGGAAAGGAGAAGGTACTTTCTTTAGCTTTAACTAATGTAACTGCAATAATATCCAATAATTCTCTTTCTCATGGCTTTTTAAACCTATAAACTAAACCTATGAACTAAGATTAAAATGTAAATGTTTTTGGGTAAAGGATACAGTATGCAAGAAAAGTTTGGAGCTATGTTTATCTGATTTTGCTTCACTAATAATAATGTGTGGGGGGGGCATAGCTGGCAACCCTGGCTGTGTTGGAGCAGGCCATCACTGCTTTCCGCGCGAGTATCAGGCCGTGCACTCATTTGTTTCCCCTGTGCTGACTCCATAAGCTCAAATATCAGTCCAGTCAGCTTTATCCCTTTCCCATAGGCATTTCTGTGCTTTGTCATGACATATCTTTTTGCACAACTAAAAGGTTTATGAATCCAAAAACGGCTTTAAAATGTTTCCAAACACTTACAGCAAACTGGGGAGTCAGACATGCTAAAATTGAACATTTTTAAACCAATCTGAACCCATAAAATATCTGAAGATGCTTTGATGCACAGTCATTCCTCCCAGTTTAAATTGAAATCTATTGTTTCTCTCTCTCTCGCTCCATCTAATGTCCCTCACCTTCATAACAGCCGTCTTATTAACCGGATGCTACTGACCAATTCTTCCCTCCCCCACTCACATAGCCAACTGACAGACTACAGTGAAAGCCAGGATAGCACAGCACCATTTCAGGTCTGTCCATGTAAACAGTCACCATCTTTAAAGGTTGGTAAACAAACAGCTTAGTACACTTTCATGGCACAAGGACGACACTATATACAAGCGCAAGAGTTGCACACCAGCTGCACGACACATAGTGGGTTGAGCATAGATGTGAGTGGGAGGGTGGTTGTGGGAGGGATGGGAGGGAAGGGTAAGTTTAAAGGTTTTGCACTTTGATTTGAAAGCCATTGTCCTCTTGCAATGTGATTTGATTTAGTATTAAAGATGGCTCAAAATGTTTTTTTATGAATAATTCCTATTATTCCTTACACTGCAAAAAAGGTTTGTCTGAAAAAAAAGATATAAACATAAAGTCTGAGGGAAAATGTACTCAAAACAAGTGAAATTAACTCGTTATGCATTAAAATGATTTCACTTGATAAGATTTCTTGAGTTAAGATTATAGTGAACAGTTGGAAACCTCAAAAAGGAAATTAACCCCTAAAGCAAGATAAATATTCTTTGAAGTTTTGTTGTTGTTCTTTTGTGAAAACCTTATAACTTGCAGTGTAAATAAAATGTGACCATAAAATGTAACATAAAGAGCGAAGAGGTCGGTGGTCGTTAGCCTTTCTGCAGGGCAAATTGTTAACAAAATTCCCAAATCTGAGACACCACAGGATCTATACAGGGTTTATATGCTAAGATGGGGGGGCTGTTTTCTGTAGTCCAACACTTGCTCAAGTGAGCAAGCGTGAAGAATTAGTGCAACAGTTCCTTTACTAATGATCTGAGCTGAGAGTGTGTGTAAAAGACAGACATTTTAATAGTAGATATAGCAATAATAGAGATAGATCCTAATGCTAATGCATGTAAAAGAAAAATGTTAGTAGAAATACCTTAATCATTTGAAAACATGTTGCACTTATTTTAAAAAGTAAAAAAACAACAACCTTAAAGCCAAAGAAACATACTATATTTCTTATTTCATTTCAATCGAGTAAGAACATTTTATAGATGTAATTTTTATGATGTTGAACTTATTGGAAAAATGTTGAGTAGACAGAGTAAAGACCAGCTGCTTATGGTGCATATTAACTTTTTCTTAAGATTGTGCTCTGTAGAGTATTACAAGTACAACAGGCCAAATTAATCAATTGATTAGTCATTGGTTAATTAATAAGTAAGGCTCTTGGTCAGCTACAAGTTGGCTGCTTATCAGAAATGTTACCTATAGCTTACACAGGGTTATCAACCAGAATGCTAGGTGGCATTTTTTTTAAGTCCTTCACATCATGGCTGACCATGTTTTTGACAACAGCCAAGCAGCAAAATTTGTCTCTCTGGTCAGCAGGGGAAAAACTTTCCTCCAGCTGAACAGTAGTACACAGCAGCAGGTGGTGGACGGAGGTGCTGTGTTTATCTATGCTCCTTACAGTCAGAACATTTGTCCATCTGGAGCCAATTACTACCAGTCAATTATATGTGTACATCAAGTTATGACAATAAAAATCCCTACTTTTTTATTTTGGTTATTTGTGTGAAATATTTCACAATCAAATATTCATAAAGATTATTTTTTTACCCAACAAAGGAAAAAGAAATGGAGAAGCAAAGACTTCTCTACCAACAGTCCAGACTTCATAACCGTGGAGCTGCAGAAATGGTCCTTCAAATGATAAGCGCCTGCAAAGGTATTCCTGAACACCGTCTTTAATCAGGATTCTGTTTTACCTCAAAACCTCCTGTTGCTTGATGCTTTCTCTGTTTTCTAGGTGAAACTGGCCCAATGGTTTCAACAACCCTCAAACTGGGGATTTCTATACTGAATGGGGGAAACACCGAAGTTCAGCGGGTATGCTTTTTTTTTCTTAACAAACCATTTATTATTAAAGTTATGATACTGTTTTAAAACTGGATTTCCTTTCAATGTTTTAACAGAAAATGTTGGAGTATCTAAAAGACAAAAAGGACGTGGGCTTCTTTCTGAGTGTCCAAGCTCTAATGCAGACGTGCTGGTTGGTTTGCTGAGCTTAAGCATTTTTCTCAGGAAAACAATAAATTAGTTGTTTAAATGTAACTAGTTAGAACTACACAACAACATCTAAGGTCTATGTTTTATGCAGCGTTCTGGATTTAAATGCCTTTGAGAGGCAAAACAAGGCAGAGGGGCTTGGCATGGTATCAGAGGAAGGAACAAGTAAGTTTACTCTTTCTTTCTCTAGAATCACCTTTTTACACTTAAGATGTTTAATATAAAGCCATTAAACAGGAAACGTCATAGCTGTTTAATATATTTATTGCCAAGTCATTAAATTACCATATTATGGTCATCTTTGCTATCTTTTCTCGACAACAGGTAAGATGCAACATTAATATTCATGTGAATCCAAAATAAATGCAGTATATTCTACTTTCTTCTATTTTTGTGATATGCTTACCATCTTCCAACATTAAAACCTAAATTTGATTTGATAGAATGACCAGTTTGCTAACAATAAGTACTATTAACACAGTGGAAGTGATACTGAATTTAGTCGAAATCATTTCATTTGTATGTCCATTAGTGTGCCGCAGCATTTGGACTTTACCATAGTGTAGTAATCTAATTCTGGAATACAATTATTGTGAAGAACACAGGACACAGTATTTAAGGCAGACAGACAGTTATATTTCTCAAAATTTGTTTATTTAAAAATGAAGGTTTGGCAGTGGACTGCTAGGAGGTCTAAGGCAGAAATCTCTGCAGGAGGGAAACACAGGTTAGTGACCATGTTATTCTGGCGGTGTGTGATTACACACATGTGCGTCACTAACCTGATCTTGAAATTCAGTTCGTGCCCAGAGGAAGAGGTAGATTCTAGCCTCACAACTGCAAACACGATGCGATTGCTGCCCAGAGAGTTCAATATGCTGAAGCTTTGAAGACTGCAGAACTGTTAGGAGATCAGATCCAAACAGACGAAGAAAGGCAGGACAATCCAGAGGACAAGCCAGAGCCAACTGGGCCAGAAGATCAGCGTTCCACAAAGGTACCAAAAGAAAAATCCTGGTCGGTGTCAGGAAGCAGTTCCAGGGTCTCCAACAGGCAAAATCCAGCAGGAGTCCAAAGACAGGTCTGGCAAACAGATCAGACCGGGAACAGGCAGACTCAGAGGTCCAAAGGCAGAACGGATCAGCATCAGGCTGTCAGAAACAAAATAATCTGGTACTGATGACTGGTTAGAGGGCTGGTTAAATAGGAGCAGGTGGATTAGATGAATGGTAATGAGAAAATGGGAGGAATTTGGCAGGTGAATGAAATGAGTAATCCAGCCAGTCATCGGCGCCAAGATCATGACAGAAGCCGGTGTCTAGCACGTGCTCAGGATTCAAAACCAGGAGATCAGAAGCCTGAACCACCTCTTCCCCTGGGCAAGAACTGAACTTTAAGACCAGGTTAGTGACTCATGCGTTCATAATCGACCTCTACCTGATTGACATGGTCACTAGCCTGTTTCCCTCCTGCAGAGGTTTCTGCCTTAGACTCCCTTGCTGCTCACTGCCAATCCTTAATGTTTAAATGATAACATTTGAATTATTTGATTGTCTGTCTGCCTTGAATACTGGGTCCCCTGTTCTGCAACTTGACAATTAGTAATTTCAACCAAAAAGGAATTTGTTGTGGAATGTTGTTAATATCCTCCCCAACCTCATCTCTTAGTCCTCTACTGTTGTCAACACACTGTTCCTCTCTCCCTTCCCCATGATCACTGCCACCCTTCCCATGTCCCTCCTTTCATGGTCCTCAGACATGAACCTAGATCGGGGTAAATCATCATTCTCTCCATTGGCCTCTCTGTTCTCTCATTCCCCTCTCTCTTTCCTGTCTCACTTGCTCAATTCTTTTTCTATTGATAATGACTCTAATGAAAGGGTATTGTCCATCATTTATGTTTGGAGCGCTGGTGCCCTTCCTCCGTTATCGAGGCCCAAGGTGCCGCAATCCAATAAAGATAAAACTATTAAATAATTATATCGATTTTAGTTGAAACCAGATGTTATTTCAGTTGCACCATGAGGAATTACGTTTTTTATCCCACTTTGAAAAAGAATACCACGTGAACTATAGATATTATTTTGTATCACACTTAATTATTTCCTCCGTTTTGATGGTTTTGAACCTCATCTTTCTTTTAAGGCAGCTCTCCAACTGCCCAGAGAAGGTCAGCCTGCTCATTATAATGGTCAGAACCAAATCGATTTGAACATATATTTGTAAAGCAATCTAAAAAAGAATTATATTTTCAATTTAGCCCCTTTTATTTGAAACCCTTAAAGGTCAGGCCCTTGCTGCATGAGACACTTCACCCACATTGCCTTCTGATGGTGATCAGAGGGCCTGGTGGTGGCATCTGTCTACAGCAGCTTTGCCCCATGGTAGTTATGGCAACAGTGCCACAATCCAAAAAGTAGAAATATTCAAATAAATATTTCAATGTAGTTGAAAACAGAGGTTTATATGCCCTCTTTAACAAGATATATACATTTAGCTTGCCGCCATTAGTGTGTGAATGTGACCATGAATGGGTGAATGACTGAATGTAGTGAAAAGGGCTTTGTAGTACGCTGATATAAAAAGGCATTGCATAAGTACAGTTCATTGAATTTGGTTGACTGACTGAAATATAAAATAAAGTTATAAAAGTTACATTTAAACATTTGTTTATACAAATATATGTATACTGAAATTTTTCCATAAGCTTATCACTCAAAATGGATTAAAATTTGAATGAACCCCTTATTGAATTATATAGTAATTTAAGATATCAATAAATATATATTATTTTTTCCATTAGCATTTAGAATTTGATCTGAAATATAAAACATATTAACTTTTATTCATCCAGCTATGTTGTTAAACTAAAGGCACCTTTGGCACTCGATACTCTTTTTCCATTTCAAAATGAAATGAATGGAATCCATTATTTTACCTTCAGCCACATTTTCTACCTAAACAACTAATTCACCATCATACTCTGATTGCACACCCCGTATGATAAGCTTAGATGGAGATAGGTGGGTTACTTAGAGGTCATTTGCTTGCCCCACTGTTTTGCCCCGATATAATACTGGATTCCCTTCAACATTTGGATTGGAGATGCACCAATGAGGCATTAACCAATAAATTTTTGTTTCCTTTTATGTCTGATTATGATGTCTGATTTTTTTCTTTTTTTTTTATCTTCTAAAGTACCGTACTACATACTAAATATGTTTTTCAACAATACTGACTACAAAACAAAAACATCTCCTGCTGGTTCTAGGATTTAGTTTTCAAATCCAGTTGGAAACCAAGGGATTATAGTGTTTGATGCATCAGATATTGTTAGCATTGATCTGATTTGTACCTACAGAAAATAAAGGGTATCACTCAAAGCATGCTGATGCATTGACAGACTGGGAAAGAACAGGGCATTTCCTTTAAAATGATTTCATCCAGGGCCAAAATAAACAGGCATTATTTTTTTAGTAGTTGCTCTGCAGGTCATAGCCAGTCAATGGAAATTAGGTCAGTTTGTATTTCTGGTTAACTGATTGGTGCATCGCTAATTTTGATGGACAGTGTCCTCTCTGATATCTAACTAACATGTCCCATGTTATTCGGTGTTTGTGTATGTGTTCATTTTAGAGAGAGAGTACACTGCTTTGGGAAAGGATCTTTTATGTAAATCCAGATTATAACAGTGCCACTAATTAATCAAAGGAATGAGTTGATCCAGTTAAAGTGTGAACTTGTCAGGCACAAGATGTTTGATCCAAATTCTTTAGCTTTAATTTTCTATATACAGATTTATCAATACTGTTGACCTGAATAGCCACCATTTGTTAAATCATGAGTTAACTTCAAGTAAAACATTTGTGTTCTTATTTAGGGGGTTGGTTAATTGGTTCATTTTCAATCCCACTCTGTCCACTTTCCTGTCTGAAAAAAATAATCATTAAGCAGGATCCTGCTCAGATCTAAATAATTTCAAGCAATAGGAGACATTAGACACCTTACAGTTCATCTGTCAGTCTGGATCACAAAGGTCCAGCTAAACCTAAGGAGAGGAACCCAAGAATAGCTCCAAGACAACCAACTCATCTAGGTTTGCACAAAATAACTTAGAACAACATGTACAGCTCCATGGGGTTCCCTTAACCTGAGGTAAGGTTGGTGCTCATGATTCAACAATAGGCCAACAATTTGGCAAGAATGGCATCCATGAGAGAATCACAGGAAAATAATTTCTGACAAAAGACAAACAAAACAATAAAAAATCCAGAGGTGTTGTTTCATCTGCCTTCACACCTTTTGTAAAAACTACGACAGCCTTTCTTTAGAAAGCAAAGGTCAGTCAGATGGCATCTTGTGTTACACTCTCAAAGATATTTCAGCCAAATCTTCAGATTGATAAAATTTTATGAAATAACGAAATTCACTGAATTCTTTAAAGTACATGTGAATTCAATTCACATGTACTTATTTTAGACTATTTTAAATAAGCATCATGTACTGCAGATTCATTAATCAAATATAGCTTATTTTTTAAAACACCTAACTGTCGAGATTATTAATTCACAATTATTAAAGTATACTTACTCAAAAAGAATACTAATGAGTGTATTTAGTTCGAATACATAAAGTATATTTGTATTAATTGAATAATAATCAGACTAGCTTTATGTGATTCAACAATAAACTTTATGTTTTTGAAATAAATACACTTATTAGAATTATTTTTGAGTAAGTATACTTTATTAATACTAAATTTATAAACCTGATCATTATAAATTATACATAAGGTTCATTGTATAAATGAATATCTAAGGTGTATTTAATAGTTTTTTGTTAAAACTGTCTAAAAAAGTTATGGGATTTTTTAATGTAATATGCACTACTAGTCCGCTCACTGAATAAAGGCAAAAGACATATTTTGCTCTTTTGGTTAAGCAGTATGACAATGATCCAAAAACAACCCAGAAAGTCCAATTCTAAATGGTGCAAAGAAGAAAGTGAAAATCTTAGAGTGCCCTGATCAAATCTTTACTTTTAATCTGGCTGTGATGCTGTGGCTTGACTTTTGAGGTTGTTGAGGCTTCAAAGCCTGTCAGTGTGTCTAAATTAAAACAATTTGCTTAAATTCGTCCTCAATGAGGGAAATAAATTAGGTTTTCTGATGATTTATAGATGATCTGAGTGTGAATAAGAAAACAAAATCGGAGGAAAGGCTTAAGGGGAAAAAAATTTTTTACAACTAAATTTGCTACTTTTAAATGTTGCAAATGTAAATGTTTTCAATGTAGAAATGCTCAACATAACAAGATAAAAAAAAAGTATTTTATGTGCTTCTGTTTTACTGTTTGATAAATTTAAAGCACTTTAAATTGTCTTTGCACTAAATTGTGCTAAATAAACCTTAGATAACAGGTCTTAGAAACCGAAAAAAAAAAAAAAAAAAAAAATCTGAGGCAGCAATTTGTTTTTCCTTTTTTGGACTAATGAAAAATTAAAACCTTTTTGCTTAGTGACATTTTATCTTCAAACTTTGTGACTATTTTTAGATAATAATAAAATAGTTTCAGCATTGACAGTAAGCTATAAAAGAGATGTTTTATAGCAAGATATTTTTTATGGGATCCAGCACCCTGTGCCGTACAGGGGACCGTTTCACGAAGCAGGTTTGACAAACTCAGATTGAAATAGTAATTTAGATAAAAAAAGAAAAATAATTTTCAAATATCAGGAATACATATTTAGCAATATTTACACCTATCAAAATGGCTTGGCTTCAGATTGAGCCTGTAGACTCAGTAGGCTGTAATTTCTTCCCCCCCTCATGGAATTAATGAATCTATTTATGTGTAATCTGAAAATAATTTCAGTAGTTCTTCATGTATTTTAAATATAAATCAATAAAAATAAAATGATACGCATGTCACTCATATTGAACAAGCCACATAATTTCTATCCTGTCAACTGAGTTGTAGAATCCTTTCCCTTTATATATTTAATTTTTAATTCTCAGTAAAAAAGTGCTGATCATTCTTTAATTAGTTCCTTGTCAACCGGACATGCAATGTTTATTTTAAAGGTAATATGTATAAAAGACCTAGTGAATGTTTTTTTTTTTTGTTTTTTTTTGTTATGCACAGAACTTTGACATCAGTTGAACTAAATCAGGAAATAAAATTGGCTGTTAGGAGAGCAGAGATAGATGACACTCTTAGTTTACTGAAGAAAACCTGCTACCAACCAGGTTAGCTCTAGGGAGAATGTTGCTATGGTCACTGAAACATGTTGTGGAAACTCTCTTTGTAAACCGGAAAAGTCAGTTTCCCTGTTTTCAGATTTAGAAAATTTAGAGTTTTCGTTTTCAGTAAACCTGCTTTGTGAAACGGACCCCAGGCTTCATCAGCAACTGGCTTCAGCTTTTTGATCAAATGTTCACATTTGGAGCAATGTTTGAGATCCTTTTTGCTCAGTTATTCTCATTACTTTAAGCATTCTATATTTTTCCTTCTTCTATGATACATTTTATTGTTGAAGTTTTTTGAAAACTGTAAAATGCTTAAATTTGCTAAGCAGTGGATTCTTATTTTAGTTTCCTTTATATATGTTGTCAATGTGGCTGCTTTCTATAGCAGCTTGTTTTCACGTGACTTGTTTGTATGTGGCGTTGGCACTTCATGTATGTTGATTGACACATGACTGCATCCCTGTGTCCTTAATACTGTCATTTATTTATAACTCTCTATAAGAGGTGGCGGTTGCAGTATGTGACACTAAAACTCATTAATCTATGATGGTAAGTTAAAAAAAGGAATTTTATTTTCAAGAGATTTGTTTATTAGTTACCTGTAATTCTTTTTTGTTTGTTTGTTTGATTTACTTTATAATCTAGGCGAACTTCTGTTCTTTGACTCACTTGTTTATGTGCATAACTCTTTCTTTGCAGATGAGAAAGTGATGGCCGATGATGAGTTCACCTGTGACCTTTTCCGCTTCCTGCAGCTGCTCTGTGAGGGACACAATAACGGTAGGAACAACTCGCATTTCAGATTCAAGCTGGGATTAAATCAAATCATTAATACATTCCATCAAAGGTAGACTTTCAAAGCTGAATAATCTTGTTTATGCAGATTTTCAAAACTACCTGCGGACGCAGACAGGAAGCACAACTAGCATCAACATCATCATCTGCACTGTGGATTACCTTCTTAGACTCCAGGTACTCTTTCCCATTAATCTGCTCTACTCTGCACAAGGTGAAACTTAAAGACATGAAATTAGTAGTTTGATGTTGGTGAATAAAATATCCCTAAAAGAGCAGTACAGATTTATTTATGATCAGACAAGCAGACTTTAAAAGCCTTTGTAGAATTCATTTTCAAATGTGACAATGCATTTTACATTTATTACAAGATTTTCTGTTGTTGTTGTTTGTGATTCAAGGAATCTATCAGTGATTTCTACTGGTATTACTCTGGGAAGGATATCATCGATGATCCAGGCAAAAAGAATTTCTCCAAAGCTATGACAGTGGCAAAACAGATATTTAATAGTTTAACAGAATATATTCAGGTACCTTTTCAACAAATTAGCATTTCTGCTATATTGTTTTTTTTTTTTTTTGTAGAAAATGTATAACAAACAGAATTTTTCTTTTCTGCAGGGTCCATGTACAGGTAACCAGCAGTCTCTAGCTCACAGCAGACTGTGGGATGCTATCGTTGGATTCCTTCATGTGTTTGCCCACATGATGATGAAACTCGCACAGGTACACAAGTTCACATACACATCAACTGCAGATGCATTTATCGTGTATTTATTTGTTTTTTTCTTCCAAAGAAAGCTCCTTTAGGCTTTGTAAAGAACAGTCATTATATTGCTTAAGGTTAAATGTGACCATGCTACATGAATAGAATAAAACATTAAAAATAAAGAAGCAAAAATAAAGAAGCATGCACTCATAGGAGTTGGTGTTTCTGTGTTAGGAGCATCTGCATATATTTGTCTTTGTTCTGAGATTTCGAAAAAGGTTGCCAGCATTTCCACCACCAACCATCACCATAGAGGATAAGAGGGAGTAATTTGTTGAGTTTCTTTAAGCCTTCCTGTTACCTGGTAAAAATCATGCTCCCTCACTCTTTAAGTACTGCCAGAATAAACAACATACATGTCTTTTCATAGATAAGAATGCAAATAGATTCTTATACCTCTGTCATTTTACTTTTAACAGTTATAGTAATTGGTATAAAAAATGAATCTTCTCCCTGCAGTAATATCCACATTTACTGACAAGTTGTTGTAAACCCACAGAAGGTCTGACCAATTGCAAATTTAAAGATCTAATTTTTGGATTACAACTGGTCTGCCAACAGCCACTGAGTTCTCTCTGAATCTTCAAGATAAACTTAGAGTTACTTTTGTCTGATGAAAGTTTTTTTCATTTAAATTACGAGTAAAATAATCTAGTAGAAGGTGGAGTTTTTCAGCTCTTCTATGATCCATTGCTTATATGTTTATATCAAAATGCTAAAATACAACTCTTTGTTGCACTCAGTTGAAAGCTTTGAAGTTGCACTTTTCCTTCTTAATCATCTTCCACACTGCAGGGTGATAACTTACATGTGCATTGTGTGACACCTTTTGATAATTCTTACCTTTGTGTTTGATATATCTGCATTTCTCTATGTCTACAGGATTCTAGCCAGATTGCTCTACTAAAGGAGCTTCTCGACCTCCAGAAAGACATGGTTGTTATGCTGCTCTCACTACTGGAGGGTAAAGAAACCTTCATAAATTGCTATATAAGTTTGATCTAAATACCTTTAAAGCACCCACTTTATTTTTTTCTCATATTGTTTCAGGGAACATAGTTAACGGCATGATTGCCCGTCAGATGGTGGACATGCTGGTGGAGTCCTCTAGCAACGTCGAGATGATTCTCAAGTTTTTTGACATGTTTCTCAAACTGAAAGACATTGTTGCCTCGGACGCTTTTCGTGATTACCTAACTGACCCCAGAGGACTGATCTCTAAGAAGGACTTCCAGAAGGCTATGGACAGTCAGAAACAGTATTCCCCCTCTGAGATCCAGTTTCTTTTGTCTTGCTCCGAAGCAGATGAGAACGACATGATCAATTATGAGGAGTTTGCCAATCGCTTCCAGGAACCAGCTAAGGACATTGGGTTCAACATAGCAGTGCTGCTTACCAACCTTTCCGAGCATGTACCCCACGACTCCCGACTGCAGAACTTCCTAGAGCAAGCAGAGAGTGTACTCAACTACTTCCGTCCATTCCTTGGACGTATTGAGATAATGGGCGCCAGCAGAAAGATTGAGCGCATCTATTTTGAAATCAGTGAAGTCAACCGCAAACAGTGGGAAATGCCACAAGTGAGAGAGTCCAAACGACAGTTTATATTTGATGTTGTCAACGAGGGCGGTGAATCCGAGAAGATGGAGATGTTCGTCAATTTCTGTGAAGATACTATCTTTGAGATGAACATCGCTTCGCAGATATCAGAGCAGGAAGAAGAGGAGAAGGGGGAAGAGGATGATGAAGGAGATGAGGGAGGGGGCGAGGGAGTAGTGGGCGGAGCTACAGGTGGAACAGGGGAGGAAGATAGTAACGGTGACGAAGGGCAGCCTGAATCAACCTCAGCCTTTACAGACTTCCTCCACAGCTTATCAAACTTACTCACCATCTTCACCTTCCGTAATCTCCGCAGACAGTATCGCAGAGTCAGAAAGATGACCTTGAAGGAGATCGTGGTGGCTTTGTCCAAGTTCTTTTGGGCAATTCTAATGAGCATATTGCACTTTATTTACAATGTGTGCAAAGGCTTCTTCATGATCATCTGGCAAGCGCTGTTTGGAGGGGGCTTGGTGGAGGGAGCTAAAAACATCACAGTCACAGAGATCCTAGCAAGTATGCCAGATCCCACACAAGATGATGTGCATGGAGATGGACCAGGAGAGATGGGGACAGGTGAGGAACAAGATACTGGAGGGATAACAGATACTGGTGAGTCTGGGAGTGGGGAAGAAGAAGAAGAAGATACTCAGGAAAATGAAGGAGGGAGGATTCCAGGTATGGATGCTCCAGGTGGACTTGGTGATATGGGAGTTGAGGAACCAGTTGAGCCTCCGACTCCTGAAGGCTCTCCTATTACAAAGAGAAAAACGGTAAGAATAAGCAATACAAATGATATGCATGATAACGCATAACAATCTGCTAAGTTTATATTAGGGATTGTTTTCCTACTGGCCATGCCATGACATCTACATTTAAAACTATTTAGTGCCAGTTTAATGGAAAGACAGGTCCAAATATGAAAAGTAAAATTTGTTTTATGGATGATCTTTCTGTTTTCCTTCAGCAACCAGAAGAGTCTGATGCAAGCCAAAAACCTCCTGAGCCTGCTCCTGTGGAAGAAGCCCCTCCAGAGCCGGAGAAGTCAGAGTAAGTTTTTGGTCACTTTTTAATGATTAAAAACAATTTTGACAAGAATGTCCTTAAATGAAGATAAAGACTAAAACTTAAAGTCTAGAAACTAAGACTTGAACATCTCAGTAAAGCAAATTTAATGAAGCTCACCTTTAAAATCTTGTTGCTGTTGGTGGGTACAGTAGGAGAGATATGGGTGGCGGCAATCCTAATGTTGAGTGAATTAAATTTGTGGTCAAATTTGCTTTGCTTTAATTTCTAGTGTCGAAACCGGGGAAAAAACTGAGAAAGAAGGCAAGAGCAAAGAAGAAGAAAAGCCACAAGAACCAAAGAAATCTGCAGCTAAAAAAGAGAAGAAGTTGAAGAAGCAAGGCTTTCAAATCTGGACTGAGCTGGAAACTCAGAGAAATAAATTCATGGTGGGAGAGTTTGTGCTTTTTGGTGGTAAAGTAATGTGCTATGGTAACTTAAATGGATTATGACATGAATCTGATAAAAAAAAAAAATTTCTTTACCAGAACTACCTCTCCAGGAACTTTTATAATCTCCGGTTTTTGGCCTTATTCCTCGCATTTGCCCTGAACTTCATTCTTCTCTTCTACAAGGTCAAATAAATATTACTTCTGTTGTTTTTTGTAAGATGTTCTAAAACTTCTACAACTAACTAAAACAAGGCATGGTTAAGTCTACTTATCAGACTGACTGGCAAATCATCGGCTCTAGAGGGTATTCATGATTTGTTTTGTCGTTCTTTTGTCTTCTAAAGGTCTCTGATACTCCACCGGAGGGGGAGGAGATAGAGGGATCTGGACTGGCAGAGGGAAGCGGGATGTTCGAGGGTTCAGGCTTGTTTGAGGGCTCTGGGGATGAAGCTGAAGGATCCGGAGCAGATGGAGGAGGGGAAGAAGATGAAGAAGACGTCCTACTTTATTTCTATTTAGAGGAGAGCACAGGATACATGCAGCCGACATTAGCATTCCTGGCCATCCTGCATACAGTCATCTCATTTATTTGTATCATTGGGTACAACTGTCTGAAGGTATGTCATGCCCAGTAAAACCAAGCATATTTGTGCTTTAATCAAACAGTGTCTTCCCAAGTATCCATGCCTCTTTGATTTAGTTTTTTCAAAACACAACTGTCTTTTTAAAATAATTAACAAAATCAATTTGGGTACTATAGATTATATTTGAGGTACCAGAGTAAAAAGTCAAAAATGCAGCTCATACTCAGACTTTTATTGTAAAAGTATTAAATGCAAATTTTTCCTTTATTCGGCAATAATGCAAGATGTAAAAGGGTAAAATACCTCTCAAACCTTTGCAAAACAAAATGTATTTAAAGTAAAAAAAAAATGTATGTTTTTTTTTTTTCAGATCCCCCTGGTGATCTTTAAAAGGGAAAAGGAACTAGCAAGAAAGCTGGAATTTGACGGCCTCTACATCACTGAGCAGCCAGAAGATGATGACATAAAGGGCCAGTGGGATCGTCTCGTCCTAAATACACCGTAGGCAGATTGAAGAAAAAATTTTTTACTTTTAGATATTGTTAAATGAGTTTAGGATCACTGAGGGTTTTGTTCATGCTTTTAATTTTGTACGTTGTTTGTCCTTTCAGCTCTTTCCCAAACAACTACTGGGATAAATTTGTGAAAAGAAAAGTGAGTAAAAGCTTCATTATGGTCAGGAATGCAATTTGCTTTATAAAATATAATCTTTCTGTGTCCAGGTCCTGGATAAGTATGGAGACATTTATGGAAGAGAAAGAATAGCTGAACTGCTGGGTGTTGATTTGGCTTCCCTGGATGTCAGTCAGCAACATGAGAAGAAACAAGAGGAACCAGACACATCTGTTTTTGCATGGTAGGGTAGAGTTTAACCAAAAAGAATTACTTGTAAATGGGAAATGTACTTTTGACTAAAATAAGTAATTATAAAATCATATTTGGTCTTTTAGGGCAACCTCCATTGACATCAAGTACCAGATCTGGAAATTTGGAGTTGTGTTCACAGACGGTGTAAGAAAAAGTGGAATAGTAAACTGCATGTTTGGCTTTATACCGCCTTAATTCTATTTATTTCTTCTATCTTCCCACAGACCTTCCTTTATCTCTGTTGGTACCTGGTGATGTCCTTGCTTGGTCACTACAACAACTTCTTCTTTGCTTGCCATTTGCTGGACATTGCAATGGGTGTGAAGACACTGCGCACCATCCTGTCTTCAGTCACACACAATGGCAAACAGGCAAGAGCAAAATTACATTTACTAAAAGACTCTGAAGTAGATCTTTAGCTATTGTGTGATGGTATTTAATCCTTAATGGTCCTGTGTGTCGCAGCTCATGATGACAGTGGGCCTGCTGGCTGTGGTGGTGTACCTTTACACAGTGGTTGCTTTCAATTTCTTCCGCAAGTTCTACAACAAGAGCGAGGATGAAGACGAGCCTGACATGAAATGCGATGACATGATGACTGTACATCCCTGACATTTACAAATGATGGCTAACTTTAACTGCATAAACCATTTATGAGTTTTTTTTTTCTCTGTACAGTGTTACCTGTTCCACATGTATGTTGGTGTGCGTGCTGGTGGAGGCATCGGAGATGAGATAGAGGATCCTGCAGGAGATGAATACGAGCTTTATCGAGTAGTCTTTGATATAACCTTCTTCTTCTTCGTCATTGTTATTCTGCTTGCTATTATTCAGGGTAAGGACCGTGCTTTTTCTGGATGATGGTTTTTAACACCTAAAGATAAGAACAAATGCTTCTTGATGATGTTTCTGAAAAGGAAAACTGGCTGATAACCAGAATCAAAAGATTTTCACCTCGCAGGCCAAAAATCAGTTGCTGCTTTTTTTCTCCAATCAAATAATGAGCTTTTGCTTAAGCTCAATTAGCTTTTGCATGTTGTCTAAGGCAAGTCCATAAATACCTCTAGTTCATTCGGACTTGAAGAAAGTGTAACTACCAGCAGAATATTGTTCTCCTTTACCCTTTTGGATTTTCAAAGTCATGTTTTGGAACCTTTTCCATTGAAAGTTTCAGAAGTTTAAAGCCTCCAAGGCTTATTTAACCCTGATAAAAGAAACTTGTATGCCTCCTGTTTCCGTTGCTCTGAAAAGCATTTAGGTAAATCAGACTGATGACATATGGAGAAACTATGAAAATAACTGCAGTACCTCTTCAAACAAGCAGGCGGTGCAAAAAAGAAATAAAAAAAACAGGACAGCCTGATCAAAAAGACAATGTTTCTTTAAACGGTTACAATAACTACTCAACAGGGATTAATAAACATATTTTTATTTAATCATCATCATGTATAGTCATTTTAAATATCTTCTGTACAAATGGAGACAAAAGGTTAAAATTGTATTTATCAAAATAACAGAAAAAAGCTATTCAGTTGGTGAGCACAGGGAAGAGATATGTTGACATTCTAATTAAAACTGAATATTTATATAACTTAGAAGGAGATTAAATAGTGGAGTCGACGATAATCAGACATGAGGGTGAAGAGGACGTGTGAGAAACTCCAAACCATGAAATGTGGTTTCTTTTCCGGCAGAGCTACATCATCTGCATAAATCTATGAAAAATAAATAATCAAAAGTTCCCACTCCACTAAATTAAGTTTTGAAAGGAGAAGTAAATCTTTAGGACATTTTTTGCTGAGGACACAAAATAAACATCTAACATTAAGAAAAACTGTAGGAACAGTTGGTATGATATCCCTACATGAACGAAAAATTTATAAAATAAAAACAATTGATAAAATTAGTAATGCACAACACATACTATACACTATATCTTGTTTTTATCTGTTACAAACAGATAACAGGTTGCAGGAAATAATAGTGGCCACCAACAGGAAATGGTTAAGAAAAATTCTCATACAGCCAGATAAGAATGAATAGGAGAAGGCTTCATAAAATAACTCTACAGATAAAGATTTGTCGTCTAATATCTCTTAAAAATCTCATGACTACTTTTTGGGACAAATGAATGATATAAAAAAGATTTATTATAGTTGATCGCTACCCGGTAGATATTTCGCTGCACACAACCCCACCCTTCCAACAATCTAGGGTAGTCTAAAAAGACACTAGACCAGACCATAAGCCATGTGCAAATGAAATAACCCAGGTAGTTTTTATTGAAATTCACCCTGGGCTTTGAAGAGCTCTGGGCTTTTAAAAAGCACAGGGTCTTTTTAAAAATAATGAAAAAAAAGGGGCTTTTTCAGCATTTTTCTAGCGAAGTTTAGGATTTACATTATTTACAAGTATGTTAGTTATTTGGTATCATTATTGCAAGAATTCAAAGTGTAGACTCTAATCTTATTATCTTTTAAATTAGAAGAATACTGTCTGATACGTTTTACTCTCACAGTCATGCCTCTTGTGGCAGAAAGGGGGATAAAATGTCCTGCATCTGTTGTTCAAAGGTTCTTATGTTATAGATTATAAAAAGAAATCCAAACTGGCCAAATCTGGGAATAGAAAATGGAAAAAATATGCATATACGACATTATTTTTATGTATATTAATGTATATTTTGCATTCAATGTTTTCTATGTAACTCTTAACTGTTATAATATGGTGATCACTGCAGGTCTCATTATTGATGCCTTTGGAGAACTCCGAGACCAACAGGAGCAGGTTAAGGAGGACATGGAGGTACATTGCAATGTTGTTATTGTTAATTAAGACTTTAAAGTATGTTTTAAAAAGTGTTTAACTCCACATTACTGATTCTTGTACAGACAAAATGCTTCATATGTGGCATTGGAAGTGACTACTTTGATACGACACCACACGGCTTTGAGACCCATACCTTTGACGAACATAACTTAGCCAACTATATGTAAGTGTCCCCTCTGCTTTGCAGTATCTCTACAGGTTCAGAGGAAAGAAGATTGATTTTTATTATGTATTTTATCCTCAGGTTCTTCTTGATGTATCTCATCAACAAAGATGAGACGGAGCACACTGGGCAGGTCAGTTGGAGATCTTAGTTTTTGGTTTTTTAAGCTGTTCTGTCAGAGTTTCAATGTTGAATTCTTGCCTCCTCAACCTGCAGGAGTCATACGTGTGGAAGATGTACCAGGAGCGATGTTGGGATTTCTTTCCTGCTGGAGACTGTTTCAGAAAGCAATATGAGGATCAGCTTTCCTAAATGACAAATGAACAAAAAGTGTGTGCTGAGGGAGTGCCACACCTTGGCTGGACCTCTGATTAACCAGAAAACCTTGCTGCATACTCACCAAGGCAGCAGGCTTTCTCGAACGCTCTTGAAACAAACTTCTCTCCATGTAATCCCATGATCTTGTCCTCTCATCAGTATGAATCTTGTCCTCTGAATCATCATCTTCATTCCTCTTTTAGAACCAATCATTTCCATCCAGTGTGATTATTTTCACAAACGCAGTGATTTTGGTCAGTAAGCAAAGAATGCACGAGTTTGCAATAATATTAGTCTCCATACATAGCCACGGTTTGACCTTTATGAACAATGTTTAGAGCATCAATCTTGTGTGATTCATTAATTTATGTATTTTCAGTTTGTTCATTTTAAAGTGTTTGAATTTTAATTGTTGTTTTCATCAGTAAAACTTATGTGTGGATGAATCTTTGAACTTTCACACAGTTTTTTAGAATTATAATCCATTAAATCATACCTTCCCTCCTGTAAGCCATCTGCAACACAGTTAAATCATGGATCACTGACATCTCTCATCTCTCTCGACATTTTAACAAACACTGTAAACGATGATTAAGAGTAATCACATAATACGGAATTTTAAAGGGCGGTACTTCTGTTTTCCCATGAGGAATTGTTTGTAGGCTCACCAAACCTCTAACTATGCATAAATATAAAAGATAACCAATCCAAGATAAAATGCCAGATTATGTGGTAGAAAAAAATCAGATGATGATAAATAATTTTAAATCAGATGAAATTGTCTTTCCAATATTCCACCTTAAAACCATGAAAGCAACAGCGTACCACTGAACTGGACGCTCCTTCCTTTAAGTCACCTTACAACCTTTACTTTTTCCTTTTTTTCCTTCATATCTTTGTGCTGTCGAAGTACAATAGTGAAAGAGCCGTCAAGGCTCCTTAAAGAAAAATTCCGCTCAAATTCAGAATACTTCTGAAAATATATTAATTATGAAATTATTACATACTTTTCAATAAATGATAAGTGTTTTTAATTAAGAGTAACTTCATTTGAATGTGCTTTCCTAAATAGCACTACTGCCACCTACTGGTTTGTGACGTCCTGGTTCGGTATCGGCTGTTATGCAAGTCCCAGTGCTGTATCTGATGTTTGTCACAATGCGCTATTATCCATGATGGTGACGACCAGTGCACTATACGAAGCAGAGAGTAACGGATTGATTACATTTTTGTCTCTGGCCAGAAGTTTGACGGCAAATCCTTCCTCTTGAAATAAAAAAATGAAAAACATTGTTTATTTTTTTACAGGAAATTTAAACACGAAATACATTAAATCACAGCGAACGTATTAGTTTTAGGTATAAATACTGACCCACCGGTTATTCCATGCTGGCCGGACTTTTCCTTTAATAATGTTTCAGAATCAGAAAACCGTTATTTATAATGAACTGAAACTGTTTGAATCCTTCTTCTGACTTAAAGCTTTAAAAAAATCAGTTGGATCCTTTGCAGCTTGCAACTTGGTCTTAGCTAAAGGAAAAAGAGGGTAGAACTATCTCACAGTTACTGCTGAGCATTTTTCCAGGTTAATCTGAAATGATAAAAGATGAGCAGCTAAAAACCAGGAATAATAAACTAAATCAAAAGTTACTAAATACAAAAACCCTTGAGTATTGAGGCTTAAACCGGATATCACTCATTTTTTGTGTTTTTAAAATTGTTTTTCCCTGCTGGGAGATTTTTTTGTTTTACTGTTAAATTGTACATAATGTTTGTCAAACTGAAGGTGAGTGGGTTGAAATGATCCTTAAGTGAAAATTCAACCTGGAAGACAATTAATCGGTCTAACCTGGAACACCTGCTAACGTTCCTCACTCGACTTTTGGCCAATTGATGGCGAGCTGCACCCTCTCAAATCCAATCATTTCTTAAGACACTCTTCATTAGGATGAAGCGCTTCAGCCGAACTTTGACCCACCTCTACCCCATCTTCTCCCTCTCATCCTCCATCTTATTCCACCACCAGTGTCCGGGCCCCGAGTGGAAGACTATTCTAATCCTCTTTCTAGGTTACTCATCCAAGCAAATGCAGATTTGCAGCATCAAAGTCCTCTGCCGGGACCTGAGTGCCAAAGATCCTGTCCCATTATGTTAGTATCTGCTTCTGTCTCCTTGAACCCCAGTGGGCTTCAGCAGATGGCCGCTCACACTGGGCCTGGTTCTGCTGGAGGTTTCTTCCTGTTAAATGGGAGTTTTTCTCTCCACTGTCACTACAAGCATGCTTGGTGTGAGGGATTGCTGAAGAGTCAATGAGTCAATGCAATCAGCTGGTTTTCCTAGATGGGAAATCTTAACCAATCTGACTGTGTTATTGCAAATAAATTGAATTCAATAAAACTTTTCTAATTGCACCTTTTCTCCATGAGAGTCTCTGGTTGAATTGTCTTATGCTCATATCTATCACTACATAAAAAGCCTCTTATTTTAATAAGGGCATGCATAATTTTACAACTAAAGTTTAAATAATTCTTGATAAAGGTCCAAAAAATATGTCCTTATATTACACCATACTTTCATTGAGGCTCACATAAAATATTGAATGTTTTCCATGAGATAAATTCATCTTGGCACCTTTTGAAAACATCTGACCCTAATCTTCTGCAATTTTTAAACAAATCTGTGATTTTAAGTAACATATTTATTCAAATGAGTAACTCTTTAGAAGTAGAGTACCATTGAAAAGTTGGCTAAACTGATAAATAAAGATTATTTGTGTTTCCATGTTTGGTGTGGAATCAGAGAACAGAAAGATGGAAAACGATTTCTCATATATATATATATATATATATATATATATATATATATATATATTTTATCATTTCTGTATTTAATTCAGCTCAGTGCATCTATCTTAAACTTGCACACTATAAACAAAGAACGGAATAACAAACTCACTATCACAAAATAACACAATAATGTACAAGATAACATTACACTTATTTAATCATATTTATATAAAACCTGGATAAAACTGATTTTAAATTTAGTGTATGTAAAGATAAGCTGATATTATAGTAAAATATGTTAAAAACTGTTTTTACATTGAGTCTTTGTATTCAGTGCAACACTTTGCGTGCAACAGGATCATCACAAGCCATTTTTATACCAATCTGCTAAACTATGGCTCTGGAGCATCCCAGCTGACAGGGGATTAAGGGTGGGCATTAAAAACTCACATTGAATCTCATGTGCTCTCCGAACATCCACCAATATTTCTCTCTCTGTCCACGTTGGAATCCATCACACGATCTGGGAGCATGAACGTCTCTGGGATTCACCACGGGGTGCTCAGGATGTATGGTGAGTAGCATCAATGCTACTAGGATTTTTCCATTTTGGAGAAAAATATGATCAACTACCAAATTTAACTGTTGGATATTTCTGCATCGTCTAGCAGCTGTTGTGTTACTTTGACACATATGATATCAAATGTTGATAATACAGATTTTGTTTTACATTTCTGACTAGAATTGTGGATCATGAAATTACTGTGAATCATATTAATAATGATCTTTTATCAGCAAAGTTTCTGGGTTTGAAAATGGTCTTAAACCAACATTTTTGTTTAAATTTAAGATGCACTAAAAAACAGTTGCCTTTCCATCTTTTAAGACAAAGTAAAGCAGCACTGTCGATCTTTTTAATTTATTGTGAAATGCTGTTCAGTGCATAAAAATAGTAGAATGGGCCAATGAATGGTGTGTATGGAGGATGTGTTCATCGTGGCGAGTGCTGATTGATCGTGTGCAGAATCCACAACCTCCTGATCCTCTCTCCATCTGACTGCCTCTAATCTAATCTGGCAGGATGATGGAATGACACAGTGTTCATTCTTTAATCCACATGTACATTGCTCACGCTGCTACTGCGATCACTAGGCCCATGTCCAATACTCAGGGTTCACATACAGCCTAGAAAAGTATGGAGTTTGATCTATGTTTTCCTACCTGGATAAGCATGGTGAAAAGAAAATAATATAATGAAAAAATAATTGGATTAAAGGTTAATTTCTTTAAAGTTGTGTTTTTCTTTCCTTTCCTCTCACTTCTTTTGTGTCCTATTTTTAAAATTCCTTCTCACCTGTGTCTCTTTCTTGTGTATTTGTTTCCTTCCTTGTGCCCTTTCTTACACACTTTATTCTTTGTGTCTTTCTTTCCTTCATTTTGTCCCCTTGTCCTACTTCATTTTGTCCTTTCCTTCTTGTCTCTCTTCTTCTGTGGGTCCTTTATATTCTTTTTTGAGAATTTCCTTTTTTTCTTGTGTCTTTCCTTATATTCTTACATGCATTTCTTTCCTCTCCGCCGTTCCTTCATGGACTTATGCCGTTCCTTTTTCACTGCGCATCTTGTATCTAATCCTTCTTTGTTTCTTGCTTATTTCATCCCATCCATCCATCTGGACTTGCGTAGCTGCAGTGTTTTGTCTTTCTTGCCATCCATCCTTGAGTTGATCCTTTTGACATATCAGCCTGTAGTTTCTGGAGGTTCTAAAAGTAAAGCCTCATCACTGGAGAAACATCTACATTAGAAGAAACATAAAATATTCAGATCTTAAGAATTCATGTTTCAAAATGGTCCAAAGTAATGGGTATATTGGAAAGGACATGAAAACATTTAGAACTTTTATGTGAAAACATGTAGAAACCATAAACACTGTCCATGGGTTTCGGCCAGCTTCATTTTTATAATTACTCGAAACTTCCTGTATCTTTTCGTTTGTTTTTCAGGTGGATTCATTTTCAAACAGTGGAAGAAACGGTTTCTGCGTCTCACCCCTGAGGGCAGTCTCCTTGTTTGCCACGATGCACTGTCTCCACCTCATCAGATCGTACTGCTGCAAAGCAACTGTGAGGCAATTGTTGAAGGCAAGGAGATCCTGGACCTGCCAAAATTACCCACCGGTGGATCCAGGGACAGCTGCTTCGCCCTGATTCTCACCCAAAATAAATACCTGCTGCTGCTGGCTGACACCTCCGCAGACTGCAGGTGAAGCAATTCATGTTTTTTTGCTTGCTTTATGTTTCAAATTATCATACAAGAAGAGTCACTTAAATCTATCTTTTTTTATCATGAAAGAGTTATTTGAAGTGAGGCAAGGGCAGATTGTTTTGCTTGTTAAAACATGAACAGCCTACATCTGCCCATATCAACAGTCAGACCAACATTTAAGATACTAACATAACCTGAACTGTGACAACAAGATAGAACATGAGACCCAAGATTGTATTCCTACTCATTCTGAGAGTTATAAATGTATAGTAACTTTACACAGTGGGGTAATGTTTTAAAATAAATGTATTCCTTATAACCAATAATTACTAATAACTTTATTTATTTATTTTTAATGATCTAAATGTTTGTTTTGCTTTTTTTTTAACTAACAAAATCTTTTTTTCATTACTCTTTAGTCAGTGGCTGAATGTGCTGAAAAAAGTCAAAATGGTGAGTCAGTGATTCATGTTTTTTGTTGTTCAGCTAACGTCTTAGGGTGTGCGTATTCGTTCGAGAACATAGCCTGAATGCATGAGGTGACATGGATGTGTGTATTTATGAAGCAGTCAGGAAAATGTTGATAAAAAATAGCAATACATTTCCAAATCAAAGTCAGAAAATGTTCAGTGATGTTTTATTGGCTTAATGGATTTCATATTTGCAGAATATTAAATACTAAACTGTTTATTTGATGATTAGTTTTAATTTTGTAGTTTATTTTTTGGAAGAATTTACTTTAAAGTTGGCTTAATTCAGATTCTTCCAATTCTTGGTTCCATGGAAGCATTAGTGTTTGTGTATGATTTGGGAACTATCATGGAATGTCGTTATCGTGTTTTGCTTTGAAGTACAATTGCACAATTTTATGTAACTGTAAATGTATTAACCACTGACGTATCTAACAGGGGATGAGGCATTTAATAATAATTAAACTTTATTGATCTCACATTGGAGAAATTTATCACTGCATTTATCCGATCCCCTTGGGGAGCAGTTGGCTGCCATTGTGCAGCGCCCGGGGAGCAGTGTGGGGTTAAGGGTCTTTGCTCAGGGACCCAGAGGGGCAGTCTGTGGGAGTGGGGCTCAAACTCGGAATCTCAGGATTACAAGCTCTATGCCCTAACCAGTAGGCTGCCACTCCCCATTTTTTTTTTACCCTGTCATTTGTACGCATTTTAATATGATTTGTCCCCAATTTAATCAACAGTTTCATCAAATACAGAAAACACCCCCCAAAAAATTTTCAATTTCACACAAACTAGTGATTTGCTTTACATTAAAAGCTGTTCCTTTTCTCAACAAAATTCCAATAACAAAAAAACAACAAACACAGCAGGATTTAGTATCACCCTGTTGTTCTTCAAAGTTTTTTTGTGATAGTTATTTTTAAAGATTAATGTTACATTTTTCCTACATGACTGTTACCTACAGAGTCTCTCATCACCCCTCAGCACTTGTAAGCGCCATCAGGTTGTACCACCACACTTTACTCTCCAAGATCTGGTGCCTGAGCCAATTCTGGAAAAAGATCCACCAACTCCACCTGTAAGTGACACAGAGTCCTCCTCTCCAGGACCTACAAGCAAAGACTCCCCACGGGAAAATGGTGAGTTTGTTTTCACACATGTCGTTACAACAAACGCATCAGAATAATATTAGATGACATTCATAAACTACTTAATCCAACAGGCAGAAATTCCCCACGGACAAAGTATAACAGACGGAGTGCACAGGGGGTAGGATGTCTGCGTCATGGCACTCTGAATAATGCCCAAGCGATGAAGGCGGTTTACATGCTGATGGGAGGGGCCGCCGCCTCCTCTGCACTGGGCTACCTTGGAGCATGCTCATCTTCTAACCTTGATGTAAAAACCGACCTTACGGCCAACCCGGATTTCTCTGGAACAGGACCTGCAGGAGCGTATGACCTCGGGACCTCCTCGCTCAACTCCCCCCACTACAACAGCTTTGACTTTGAGGTGGCAGACTCTGATTTTGATGCTTTTGATTGTGGTGGGTTTACTTTTTAATGATTCTAAATATAAATGGAGAAGGATTACTTTTTTTTTTAAATCAAAATAAAAACAACTAATGGAAATCAAGAGGTTAATGCAGTGGCCTGGAAGTGCAAAACACTATTATATTAGCCTGAAACACTTTCACAGGTTTGAGAAAACAGTGGACCTGTTCAGATTGACAGCATCTGCATAAAAAATACAAGATTTAAAAGAATAAACATATCTGAGAGATTATTCTGAAGCCAATAACTACTAAGAACTGCATCTCTGCCAAGTCAGTTTTGTGTTATGTGACTCATATAATTTCTAAAATACAGATACCAGGCAAAAAACTGTATCAGTGTACATTTTCATTTGTGTATTTTTGATTAATGGTTGTATTTATATTGTTTGTATTATAATTCTGTTTGTATTTAACAGTGATTGTGCGTTCTGATACATGTGATAATCCATGAGGTAATATTAAAATGATAGCTGTATTTTTATCACTGGCGCCACATAGTGCATCCATAGGACATGATGTATGTATTACATAATGCTTAAGAGGCATTACTGTATAACCATTAATGGATTAAAACTTATCTGCAGGAGATTTTTGATGTTGTAACCCCAGGCTGCAGGGAAGCTACGAAGCTCATTTAAAAAAAATGTATTCTCCACTGTTAAGCTGTTCCCTACGGTCACACAATTGTTGTTGCGTCACGTGGTCTAATATGTTACTTAAAAAAAAAAAAAAAATGATATGAAACTTTATTTATTCTAGGTAAAGAATAAAGTTGGTTTCTCTTACTTTGTTGCACGTTTTTTTCATTCTTCATTTAGTGAATTAATTCTGTGGGAAATCTTTTATCACCAGTGTCTGCTACAGTTGTGCTAGACAGTTTACATACCCATCCATTAAAAAAGGAAAAAAAAAAAAATTATATATACCGGTATATAAATTTACCACTATAATTTACAAATGAATTCTTTAAAAATCTGACAATGGGATTTCCTGAAGTTATTTTTGCTCTCATAGGTAACCTGTAACACTGAGGAAAATTACAGATCTTTCCAAGGAGAATGTGCGCAATCAGCGGCTTACTACCGGTAAATACTTTTTTGCCCCACTGAGTAGACGCTGCCTGTTTGTTCAGTGTGTGAGCAGAGAAAAATAGCAGTACCAAGTGACTGCAACAGCAGGAAAAAGGAACATGACAAAGTAGAGAAATACCAGGGGATCAGAAAAGAGCTGGAGAAAACCTGGAAGGTCAAGGCATCAGTGGTGCCCGTGGTCAAACTTTAACCCCAAACTTGAGGAGTGGTTACAGCAGATCCCTGGAAATACATCAGACATCAAAGACTGAAGTATTATAAGTTACATATATATCATGTAAATACTGAATATATATATATATATATATATATATATATATATATATATATATATATATATATATATATATATATATATATATTGAGCTGTGATTGACACTCCATCAGACGCTCCTCTGGCTGTGATTGGTTGTTTTGACTCGTCCCGAATTATTCTTTCCAGATTGAAATACAGGCAGTATGCGGGACCAATAGGGGGTTTTCAGGTGACGTCACGCTCACGTGACTACTCAGCGCGTCCGCCATATTGGGTGGCTGCCTTAGGCAGTATTGACAGTGAAAAATGGTGAAATCGTGTGTAATTGTTGGTTGCACGGCCCGTGGAGGTGGAGAT